TTAACTTAAACCCCAAACCTGAAGCTGAACTTGAAACCTTAAACCTGACCCTAAGGTTGAATCCTTAAACCTGACCTTTAACTTGAATCCTTAAACCTAAACCTGAACTTAAATCTTAAAACCTGAAGCTGAAGTTGAAACCTTAAACCTGACCCTAAGGTTGAATCCTTAAAACTGACCTTTAACTTGAATCCTTAAACCTGACCTTTAACTTGAATCCTTAAACCTGACCCTGAACTTAAATCCTAAAACCTGAACCTAAAGTTGAATCCTTAAACCTGACCCTGAAGTTGAAACCTTAAACCTAATCCTAAACTTAAATCCTTAAACCTGAACCTGAACTTAAATCCTTAAACCTAAACCTGAACTTGAAACCTTAAACCTGACCCTGAACTTAAATCCTTAAACCTTAATCTGAAATTTCAACCTTAAACCTGAACCTGAAGTTGAAACCTTAAACCTAATCCTAAACTTAAATCCTTAAACCTGACGCTGAACTTAAATCCTTAAACCTGAACCTGAAATTTAAACCTTAAACCTGACCCTAAACTTGATTCCTTAAACCTGACCCTGAACTTGAAACCTTAAACCTGAACCTGAAATTTAATCCTTAAACCTGACCCTGAAGTTGAATCCTTAAACCTTAACCTGAAATTTAAACCTTAAACCTGATTCTGAAGTTGAATCCTTAAACCTAAACCTGAACTTGAAACCTTAAACCTGACCCTGAACTTTAATCCTTAAACCTTAACCTGAAATTTAAACCTGAAACCTGACTCTAAACTTGAATCCTTAAACCTGACACTGAACTTGAAACCTTAAACCTGAACCTGAACTTGAAACGTTAAACCTGACCTTTAACTTTAAACCTTAAACCTAACCCTGAACTTAAATCCTTAAACCTGAACCTGAAATTGAAACCTTAAACCTGACCCTGAAGTTGAAATCTTAAACCTGACTCTGAACTTGAAACCTTAAACCTTACCCTGAAATTGAATCCTTAAACCTGACCTTTAACTTGAAATCTTAAACCTGACCCTGAAACTGAAACCTTAAACCTGAACCTGAACTTTAAACCTTAAACCTGACCCTGAATTGAAACCTTAAACCTGACCCTGAATTTAACCTTAAACTCAAAACTCTAAATATAAAGCTGAATCAGATTTTTTTCATGTTCTGAACCAAAAACAGACCTTTTTCACCAGAACCTGTACCCAGAGTCTAAACCTGACCTAGATCTTTCCGCTGTCGTGAACCTGACCCAGAACCTAAATCTTACTCTAAATTCAAACCTGAAGCTGAACCCAAATCTAAACCTTAACAATAAACATTTAAAACGGAAAACTCTGCCATCAAAAATTGGCCAAATAATGCTAAATGTCGCAACAATACATTTCAAAACTAGGATGAAAGAGAAAAGAAGGAGATATTTAGGAGTGAGAAGGAAGGAGATACTGAGATGTTTTGGTGGATCCACTCCAGGGTTTAAAACATGAAAAGAAGATGAGTGAACAACAATTTAAACGTACAATATAGATAGGCTGTGAAAAAATTCTCACATAAGAAAAACAAAAGTTGGATTACGGGGAAATAAGAGTGTGTATAAAAAATAAAAGGAAGGGTAGAAGAGTAAAGACATTATAATAGAACAGGAGGTATAGAAGAGTGTATGTATTATGAACAGGAAGGGTAGGAGAGTGTATATATTATAAAGAACAGGAAGGGTAGAAGAGTGTATGTATTATGAACAGGAAGGGTAGGAGATTGTATATATTATAAATAGCAGGAAGGGTAGAAGAGTGTATATATTATAAAGAACAGGAAGTATAGAAGCGTGTATGTATTAGGTACAGGAAGGGTAGGAGAGTGTATATATTATAAAAAACAGGAAAGATAGAAGAGTGTATGTATTATAAAGAACAGGAAGCGTAAAAGAGTGTATGTATTATGAACAGGAAGGATAGGAGAGTGTTTATATTATAAAGAACAGGAAGGTTTGAAGAGTGTATGTATTATGAACAGGAAGGGTAGGTGAGTGTATATATTATAAAGAACAGGAAGGGTAGAAGACTGTATATATTATAAAGAACAGGAAGGGTAGAAGAGTGTATATATTATAAAGAACAGGAAGGGTAGAAGAGTGAATGTATTATAAAGAACAGGAAGGATAGAAGAGTGTATTTATTAGAAAGAACAGGAAGAGTAGAAGATTGTATATATTATAAAGAACAGGAAGAGTAAAAGAGTTAATGTATTATGAACAGGAAGAGTAGAAGATTGTATATATTATAAAGAACAGGAAGAGTAGAAGAGTGTATGTATTATGAACAGGAAGAGTAGAAGATTGTATATATTATAAAGAACAGGAAGAGTAGAAGAGTGTATGTATTATAAAGAAGAGAAAGGATGAAGGATAATGTTTATAGGTTCTAATGTGATTGTTCTCCAACTTTCTGTTTCGGAGTTGAGTGGAGAAGGTAATAAAATGGCTGTATCAGTGTCGCATGAGACGAAAAAACAGAGCTAATTATTTTACCCATTAGCTCTGCAGCTCTCCGCAACCTTCTTATTCTCTTCTCAACATTCATATTAATTTTGAATACTTTTTCATATCTGGCTTATCTTTTTAATACTCAATTATTGAAGATTTCTAAGAACCGTTTCTGAACTTATTTACGGGGATTTTTCGTAAAAAGTTACTGATTTAAAATCTCATTATTCATTTTATATTTAGATGAAAATACTCCCCACTTCATGTACAATATACATAGTAATCTTACTTTTACTCTTCTTCTTACTCATTTATTTTAGAAGTCTTACTCTTATAATTCAGTTATTCTTATAATAATCAAACTATGTTACTCTTATAAACTAGTTATCCTACTCTTATAAACCAGTTATCCTACTCTTATAATCCAGTTATCCTACTCTTATAATCTAGTTATACTATTCTTATAATCCAGTTAGACTACTCTTATAATCCAGTATCCCCACTTGTTGTCCTCTCAGAATATAAAATTCGAATTTTTAAATCCACTTTTAAAAATTACAAATCATTAAAAAGATTAGTTTTGAGCAACATTATTATTTAATATATTTTCAGCCAATATCTGAATATTAACAAGCAAGTATCAAGATCTGTACAATCAGATTCAGAGTAGCTTTCATCTTAAAGTCTAATTTCTATAGTCTATATGTTGTATTGGACACTTTTCTTGAGAGAAGGGGAGAGGGGGGACGGACAAAAACCATCGGAAAATGCGCCATTGAATCATAAAGTTAAAATCAAATATGACCTGTAATTCCGTTATCGTAGTTTTTGCCCAGAGCTCTATTCTTGTATGCCAAGAAATACTTATCGACACCTTTATCTCTGAAAATTTAAATATAGGGGAACTGTTTCCAAACCTAGAGAAATCTCTTCTTTTATATAAAAAGGTGAGCATACAGTTAACAAGAAGTGGTTTTAAGTAAAGATTACATTTTTCACAATCGTTTTTAACTTTATGATTCAAGGATGGAGAGTTTTAATCATTTTTATTTTATTTCTTTTTCTTATGGAGGTCCAGAAAAAACATGTAAAAATTAACTATCTCGTTTTTCTTGTTGTGAGTGATGTATATTAGGTCTAACCAAATCAAGGTATTAGGAAATTCGATTTTTAAATAATAATTTAACATTTCCTCCGATAGCGTTTGTCATTTGAAAACTATAGAATATAGAAAACTAATTTTCCGACAAACTTTTTGACAATAAACTTTTAAAAAGTTTCCAGGAAAAAATTAATAATTCATCGTAGCACGTCTGAAAACTAATATTTGATTTACAATATGTTACATAATTATACAAGTGCATAATGTAAAAATGTAATATTTTACTAAGATATAAAGCATTTTAAAATAACAAATATAATAATAAGTTTCCCAGTAAACATGGCAATTATGAGACGATCTAATCATCGTATTTGATCTTTTAAAGCTCTTTGGGGACAAAATGTGTATTAATAAAGTACGAATCCTGCAAAGCCTGTACGTAAGTCTTACAACCTATTTTTGGTAAAATCTTTGCTCTTAAATAGCCATCAAATGTAAAAAACGACATTTATGTCATCTGTAAATTGTCACTTTTAATGGGACACCTTGTAGTTTTTTTTCACATAATAGGTTAGGAGAGTTTTAAATTTCATATATTATTATCTACGATTGAGTTTATCAAACTCAGAGATCAGTCGCCCTGAAATCTGAACAAAGACGACAATGAAACTTGAATGTGTTCTTGTTTTCACTGTGTAACGGCAGTGCGGAGTATTGTAACAACTGATCGATTCTTTCTAAACCCTTATTTATAGAAACTGCGCTATTAAGTATTAAAGTCAAATAAAAAATACGCAAATGCAAAATATCTAATTCTATGGATTTGGAGGATGGGAGAAAAGAATAGGACGAAAAAATGGTTTAATCCTTAATGATGAAGTTGGGTTCAAGGAATCATCCAATTCTTCTTTTTAAAATCTTTTCTAATTTTAGTCAAATCTGTTGAATAGTGAGAAAGAATGTGGCAGTTGACTATTTGACAGATAAAGAAGGGGAGGAGGGGGTTATATGGATGATTTTCAGGATATGTCATTCTAGGGAAAATCAAATCCATTCCTGTAAAAAATCCTAAATTTAAAGAGAGATATCAACATTTTTACAAAGTTTCAAACTAATACTTTTTGTATGTGTACTGTTTAATTGTGCAGTACAGTTTACTTTGTTCACACTTTTGCACTTTACAGTGTAAGTATATTGTACGTTTCCGACTTTCAATTTACTAACAGTACAGTACAGTACAGTACAGTACATTACAGTACAGTACATTATAGTACATTACAGTACATTACAGTACAGTACAGTACAGTACAGTACAGTACATTACAGTACAGTACAGTACAGTACAGTACAGTACAGTACAGTACAGTACAGTACAGTACAGTACAGTAAGTACAGTACAGTACAGTACAGTACAGTACAGTACAGTACAGTACAGTACAGTACAGTACAGTACAGTACAGTACAGTACAGTACAGTACAGGACGTTTTTAAAGCATTTATCGATAAATTTCATGATGTACAAAAGTTGGTTAGCAAAGATCCGGTTTACCATAGACTAAATATTGTTGCTGATGATGGCAAATATTATTGTGGCTACAAACATTTTATAATCAATAAAATTGGTTTCTCCGTCTGTGTAGCTGCTGTGCTAGGAAAGATATCTTAATCTAAAGCTAACATAAAAATGTTTGTAAACATTAAATCAGACAATGTCCCTAAAAATATTGATAAAACCAATAACCTACTCTGTCTTTTTTTGTAAACCTGATGATATCTCCCTTTTATACTTTTTATATCGTCTTTCTTTCTCCCATCCCGACCCTGGAGCCGTAGGATTGGCTCAAAATCCTCTAAATTTACGAGTATCTTGAGGTCCTAAAGCCTTATCTGGGGGTAGCTTCAGAAACTCGGAGTTTTAGGGAAATATTTAGATCCTTTGGCGTTGAGAGCTTGAATTTAAAATGTGTCTAGAGTTATGTAAAATAATTTTTAATCTATGCATTTCTATGAAGCTGTAGACATTGTTTTACACCACAGATAACACAGATAAGTCAATAGGTTATTGTTATTGTGAACAAGGTTTTGGAACCTATTTAATTACAAACTTTCTGTGTAATCTGTGGCTGGTTTACAGATAATATCTCTGTTTATCTATTTTACAGGTTTATTATTTTAGAAAGGATTTATGTTAACATTTACTGGACTGGACTCAGTATATCTTTGTAAAGGAGTATTTCTACAAGTATACGAAGAATATATCCAGGTACTAGGAGTATACCCCGGTATACTATGAGTATATCCAAGTATACTAGGAGTATATCCAGGTATAATAGGAGTACATCCAGGTATACTAGGAGTATATCCAGGTATACTAGGAGTATATCCAGGTTTACTAGGAGTATATCCAGGTTTACTAGGAGTATATCCAGGTATACTAGGAGTATATCCAGGTTTACTAGGAGAGTAGACAGGTCGTCCTTCTATGAAGTATGATTTTTTTCTACTTTGGGAAAAATGCTTTTAACAATGTAGGGGACAATACATTCATCTGCAATACATTCAAATAAATCAATTTAAATGTGTTAAAGATTTTCAGAGTCGCGAAACGTAAAACATTAAGACAATATTTATTGGTTTTTGTTGTTGTTGTGGGTAACTGACTTTACTAGGGATTACATGCTTGGTGTTAAGCTAATCAGCTAAATAATGATATGTAAGGAGCATCTACATGAGGAAAAGGTATTATCTAGGTTTCAACGTAATTCTTCTAGCTTTGTTTAACTTTCAGCATCTACAAAGAAATGATTTGGCTTGTACACTTTTAAGTCTGACGTACACTTGTTATAACCCAGCGTACACGTTTCTGAATCAAAAATTATTTTCATGTACAAAAACATTTTATTGCACAATTCCTGTTCCTGTTTGAACAAGAGAGACATGATGGATTTGTATTAAACTAAACTTGGATATTTTGGCAGAAAATTGTAGTTTATGACTCGTAAATATCCTTGTTATGGTATCCCAGCTTCCTGGCTAGCTCATGAATAACCTCCTTGAATATGACGGAATCAATGTTCTGTCCGAGCATATAAAGGAGAAACCAGTCTCCCATCTTTGTCTTTTTAATAATAATATTGATGCACTCTTTCTTCACTAACCGGAACCGGATATAAAGGAGATACGCCTGAAAATATTATTACTAGAATAGTTGAGAATAGGGTTAGATAGGTTGGGAGTAGGGTTAGAGAACTGAATATGATAGGTGGGGAGTAGGGTTAGAGAACTGAAGAAGATAGGTTGGGAGTAGGGTTAGAGAACTAAATATGATAGGTGGGGAGTAGGGTTAGAGAACTGAATATGATAGGTGGGAAGTAGGGTTAGAGAACTGAATATGGTAGGTGGGGAGTAGGGTTAGAGAACTGAAGAAGATAGGTTGGGAGCAGGGTTAGAGAACTGAAGAAGATAGGTTGGGAGCAGAGTTAGAGAACTGAAGGAGATAGGTTAGAAGCAGGAATAGAGAACTGAAGGAGAAAGGTTGGGAGCAGGATTAAAGAACTGTAGGGTACAGGTAGGGAGTAGGGTTAGAGAACTAAAGGAGATAGGTTGGGACCAGGGTTAGAGAAGTGAAAGAGATAGGTCGGGAGAAGGGTTAGAGAAGTGAAAGAGATAGGTAGGGATTAGGCCGTTGAGGTTATAGGTTGGCAGAGAGGTATAAAATCATGGTGTAAGGGAATGGGATTCAAATCTTAAACATAAACAGAATTGGTAAAAACAAGAAGAAGTATTTAAACACATATTACCCTTATCCTAGGAGAGAAAACGATGAGAATCCTGTAAGTTACAACTAGGATTGTTAGAAACCCCAGGAGCAAGAACCAAAACCAGATAAATATATAGATTTTCTCATTCACTGAAATAAAAACAAATTAGATATTCTTATTGGAAATAGAAGTAGACAAATGAATTTATATTTGATACATTTATTTGCTAAACTGAAACTTTTTCATTCTTCCTGTTTACTATCCAACGAGTTGAGATATTTTGAAAGTTAGCTTGGAAGATTAATGTGCCAAACTTTATTTCTCCTCAAAGCATTCGTTTTCGTTGTAACACGGCAGTCTGCTAAAGAAAGGTTTATTTCGCTTGAATCGACAAAACCAATATATTTTCTAACCCATGATTTGTTAAGGAAACTTTATTTCTTGTGTAAACCAATCCTAATGGAGCAATTTTCTTTCAATCCTATTCGATTCCGCACCGCGAATAGTTTCAGCACTGATACTACAATTAGATGATTATCTTAGTCTCCCACCTCCACCTCCTCCCTATTTCCCCTTTGCACAGTACATCTCCCCTTGTACACCTCCCTCATTACACCTTCCCTAGTACACCTCCCTCATTACACCTTCCTTAGTACACCTCCCTCATTACACCTTCCCTTGTACACCTCCCTCATTACATCTTCCCTAGTACACCTCCCTCATTACACCATCCCTAGTACACCTCCCTCATTACACCTTCCCTAGTACACCTCCCTCATTACACCTTCCCTAGTACACCTCCCTCATTACACCTTCCTTAGTACACCTCCCTCATTAACCCTTCCCTTGTACACCTCCCTCATTACATCTCCCCTATTACACCTCCCTCATTACACCTTCTCTAGTACACCTCCCTCATTACACCTTCCCTAGTACACCTCCCTCATTACACCTTTCCTAGTACACCTCCTACATTACAACTCCCCCAGTAAACCTCCCTTCTTCTCATTAATCCTCCTATCTCCCCCAGTACACCTCACACAAAACACCTCCAGTACAATTTTCCTGCCTCCCCCTGGTATCTTAATCCTCCCCAATCGTACCTCGATCAATTCAGAAACAAGAACTGATGATTATATTCATCTAATATGTCTCCATTTATCCTGGTTCATGTAGAGATCTATTATTCCTTCTCTTCTAATTTATAGATTATTGCCAAACTATTCCAATTCGGTAGAAGATAAATCATTGAATTTGATGTTGTAACACTTGAACCTGGAGCTTTTAAACCTGAGTGAAAGCCAACTAAACTTTGAATAAGGAAAGTTTTAATGTTGGAAGTAGGTTTGAGAGATATCAAGATCCTCTTCACACAAAGAATAATAAAACAAAGTTACTACCCCTTGACCTCACAAGAACAAACCCATGGAGTTCACTAGAAAAGATAAAACCTGTGCTCATATACTAGTTTCTGTAGTACAAAACAAAATGTTTGGGTTGGAGCAAGGTTATAATGCAAGGAAAGTTATTTCAGAGGTGTTTGCATTTTTGTGCTGCAGTGTACTGTCTCTGGGCGATAATGTAAACACAAGACGGATGTCGAAGCCTGACATGGGATCCATCTTTCACATAAAAAATCAATGAAATAATTAATTTTCAAACCACCGATTGGATATCCCTCTAAACCAAATGATCTAACTTTTTGAGTAGTATATCTATATCACAGGTGTCAACTGGTCATAGGAAACTATTATGTGAATTATCTTGTTTACAAATTCCGCCCAGAGAGAACTGGTTTCAATATCTACGCAAAGTAGACGCAAATGCAATTAACTTTCCTTGTATTATAAACTTGGGATGGAGAAGGTTGTAGTTCAGAGAAAATTTAGAAGTATGATTGATTCATCCGTGCGTGATAAATACAATAACATTTGCGTTTCCAAACATTTGAATCAAATCTGGGGAAAATTTCCGATATTGCTTTCCACTTTAGAATGTGATTGTAGGAAATTCAGGGGATTTGAGCTTGTGAGGAGGGTGGAGGTGGTGGAAGGGGACTATAGATTGGAGCTAGGGAGAAGGATAGAGATGGTGGAGGGGGACTATAGATTGGAGCTAGGGAGAAGGATAGAGGTGGTGGAGGGGGATTAGAGATTAGAGCTAGGGAGAAGGGTAGAGGTGGTGGAGGGGGATTAGAGATTGGAGCTAGGAAGAAGGGTAGAGGTGGTGGAAGGGGACTAGAGATTGGAGCTAGGGAGAAGGATAGAGGTGGTGGAGGGGGATTAGAGATTGGAGATAGGGAGAAGGGTAGAGGTGGTGGAGGGGGACTAGAGATTGGAGCTAGGGAGAAGGTTAGAGTGAAAGAGAANGTGGAGGGGGACTAGAGATTGGAGCTAGGGAGAAGGTTAGAGGTGGTGGAGGGGGATTAGAGATTGGAACTATACCGTATATAGCAAACATCCCCCCCCCCCCTCCAACGCACAATTTTGTATTGCTAAAAATATTCCGTGCTCTTAATAGTTCTTATTTACATTAGGGGGATATTGAGAATATTCTTGAGCAATTTTATTCATTGTTCAAGGGTAAAGAGACATTCAAAATAGCATCACAGAATTCATAGAGTTTAAATTCATAAAGGAAACTGAAGACTCGCCATTAAATATCAATTTGTTGTCCCTATCTCTTTGCAACCTGATGGTGAAAATCTTAATTTTGATATTTAAATTTTTTACTATTTTATCTAGCAGTATTCATGCTTAAAATATCAAAAGTCAAGACGACATCAGGTTGCAATGATAAAAGTATTGTAAAATTTGAGTAAAAGTAATCATCTGCCACATCAAGTTCAATTTGAATACCTATGTTCAAGGGAAGAATACACATTGCGTCATGTTTCTCAATTTCTCCGCTAGAACCGAACTTGTGAAAAGTGCACTTTGTCATCCGTGGGAAAATATAAACCTGAAGAATATAAAACTTGAAGACATAAAGCTGGCATTTATTAAACATGATGATATAAAACAATCCTAACCTATAAACTCAACCAATCATAAACCTATTCTAAAATATGAGCTGAACCAATTTATTCTACTCTGTAAAGTAAATCAATCATATTCATATGAACTAAACCAATCATACTTTATAAACTAAGCCAATTCTAAAATATGAGCTGAACCAATTAATTCTACTCTGTAAAGTAAACCAATCATATTCATATGAACTAAATCAATTATACAATATTGATGAACCAATCATACTCTACAAACTAAACCAATCATACTCTATAAACTAAACCAATTATACTCTACAAACTAAACCAATCATACTCTATAAACTAAACCAATCATACTCTATAAACTAAATCAATCATACTCTATAAAGTAAACCAATCATACTACAAACTAAACCAATCATATTCTCACAAATCATACTCTGAGCAAAACCAATTCTAAAATATGAGCTAAACCAGATAATTATTAAAATTAAATCAACTCTGTTCCTAGACTTTCATACTGAACAAATTCCACTCCATAGCTAAACCAAACCAACTCCATGATCTAAGTAAATTCTTCATGATGAGCCAGACTAATTCTTCCCTGGACCTAACCTTAACCAATTGAACTCCAGGAGCTAAACCAACTTTACTAAATTCTACAACCGGAGCTAAGCCAATCCTAAACCTTGAAATTTACCACTTCTATAGCATGAGCTAAACTAAACCCAGGATAGAGCTAAACTTACCATAGGATCAATCCTATCCTCTTGATCCCGCTCGGCGAACGATATAACCTCAATACCAAACGTCAGGAATGTTCCGTCGAAAAATCTGTCCATTAAAAACATTTGACCTAAACAATTTAATTCTTAGATTCATCGATAACTATAAAACAAAGCTCTTCGCTCACATATATATATATTTGTTTGTATATTTTTTTAGCACCCCAGGGGTAACATAGACTAAATAAATTCGAAATTCATTTTTCTTCAAAAATATTTTTTTTCAAAAATCTATATTTTTCAAATTCGGTTTAAGAAAATATAATTAGTGATAAAAAGATAATTTAGAGATAGTTACCAAAAATATTGACAAGACCAAGGAATTCACAAAAGAAGTATCTATACGCCCAGAAGTTGTGATTCTTGAGGTTTGAGTAGAGATAATCCAGGAGAAGTTTCTTTTTCTGTCGTTTCTCGGACTCCCTGAAAGTCATGGTGTGTAACAACAACAATTCCGACAGAGTTGAAATTTCACAATATTCTTTAAAATAATAGAATAAAGAGAAAGCTGTACATTCTCTTCTTTCACAATACTTCAACTTTCACTAGATTTGAAATAAAAAATATTAAAAAAACGCTCTATCAAACTTATTTAACATCATAAAATCATTAACAACTACAGAATTCTCTCATAATAATATTAATATTTATCTTTAATAAAACATTTCTTTGAAAAACTGAGATGATTCTAAAATATTAAAAGATAAAACTAATTCTCTGTTAAATTTAAAAAATCTGTAAATTTTCCTTCTATTCTGTTAGAAGGATTATTTAAGTTTGAGGACAACCTAGATTATATTGTCAACTCAAAACATCTAATTTTATCCTCTTAACTTGAAAATAAGCTTAGTAATAACTTACCAAGATTGTATTTCAAGGTTATTGCAGGATGAAGTACATCGAATGTATTTTAGGGCGTATTGCAAGATGAAGTGCAGAATGTATTGCAGGGTGTATTGCAGGGCGTATTAATGCAGGATGAATCACGGAATGTATTGCAACTTCTATGAAAGGGTGTATTGCAGGATGTATTGCAGGGTGTTTTGCGGGGTGTATTGCAGAATGTATTACAGGGTGTATTACAGGGTGTATTGCAGAGTGTATTGCAGGGTGTATTGCAGAGCATTGAATGGTGTATTGCAGAGTAAATTAAAGAGTTATTTCAGGGTGTATTGCAGGATGTATTGCAGGGTGTACTGCATGATGTATTACAGAATGTAATACAGGGTATATTGCAGGGTAAATTACAGAATGTATTGAAGGGTGTATTGCAGGGCGTATTGCAGGATGTATTGCAGGGCGCATTGCAGGATGTATTGCAGGGTGTATTGCAGGATGTATTGCAGGATGTATTGCACGGTATATTGCAAGGTTTACTTCAGGGTGACTTCAAGAGTGTATCGCAGGGTGTATTGCAGGGTGCATTGAATGGTGTATTGCAGGGTGTATTGTAGAGTGAATTAAAGGGTGTATTGTAAAGTGTATTGCAGGGTGCATAGCAGGGTGAATTCATGGATGTATTGCTATTGTGTATTGCAGGGTGTATTGCATTATTATTACATCTGAAAACTATAAACCTTAATTTTGATGAAAAAAATCTTACGTTATAATTCCTTGATCAAGATCCATCTTCAACGCTGCTATCTTCCCAGCTTCCCAGTTCTTCCAGAGCCATCGTGGTATATAGAACAGGATAGCCTAGGTATAGAACAGGATAGAAATATAATTTTAAACCATGACTTAATTCTTAAATGGTTTGTTAAAAGTGAAAATTATTTGCAATATGGTTTTGATATGTTTTGATAGGATATGTTATTTCTGTTATTATTATATTAGTCTTGAATTTAAACTGAACTCCGGGATTAGATTGAGTCTAGGGTTTAAACTGAACTCCGGGATTAGATTGAGTCTAGGGTTTAAANGGTTTTGTATTTGCTTGTATTGGTTTCATATATTAATATCAAACCAACCAAAAATCATCAATCAACCAACCAATCAATCACTAAATTAATCAACCAATCAATCAATCCATCGAACCAATAAACTAATACATCAATCAACCAACCATCCAACCAACCAACCAACAAACCAACTCAATAATTCAATGAACTATTCAACTTATAAATAATTCTAAAAACCAATATACCAAACCATCTGGGAACCATTCAATCAATCAATCTATATATATATACCAACCACTCATTTTTAAATCAATCCACCAATCAATCCTTAAAATGACCAAAACGTACAAATTTATCAATCAATCAACAAATCATCAAACCAATTAAACTAACAATTGTTTAATCGTTCTACCAACTAACCCACCCACCAAACTTTCAATTTATTAAAGGGACTGTAAGCGTAATTTTAAGTGACTCTTCATGTTCGATTCACAAGGGTACCCTTAAAAGCTTTGTCTGATCAAATATGAATTAGATATCAATGTTTATAATTTTGAAAATTGAATATTTTCCATTGTAGATTCTTAACTGAAGTGACTTGCGCATTCTATTCTCCAGGAAAACATATATGAACTATCAGAGTTAAACACTTTTAAACCTAGAAAAAACTGAAGGATTGAATAAATGAATATAAAGGTAAGAGTATTAAGAACCTGAAGGAATGAATAAATGAATGTGAAGGTAAGAATATTAAGAACCTGAAGGAATGAATAAATGCATGTGAAGGTAAGAGTATAACGAACCTGAAGGAATAAGTGTATGTGAAGGTAAGAATATTGAATTATGTCTGTATCCTGGAATATCTGCGTAAATAAACAGTTTAGATATTCTAATGATTAATAGCACCTTAGAGAAGGGGAATACTAACCCAATATATGTTACACAGAGCTGAATAAAGGTCCTTACAAGGATGTTATGCAAGGACAGTTTTTTTTATAAGTGTACACATCTTTTGTACTGCAGTGTAAGCTGTCTCTGGGCTGTAATGTAAATACAGGACGGATGTCACAGCCTGACATGTGATCCATCTTTCACATAAAAAAATCAATGAAATATTCTGGTCATAGGAAAATATTATGTTAATTATCAAAATTTAATGCTTTTAACCTCCTCGGATGCTAAACGAACACTGATACATCTATTCTTGTTTACAAATTCCGCCCAAAGAGAACTGGTTTCAATATGTACGCGGAGTATACACGACCGCAATCAACGTTCCTTGCATTATAACCTTGGTTCCTTAGAACAAATAAGTAAATTCAATATATTTAAAAATTCAACCCAAATCTTTACAAACAATAAGAAAGCATATTTTTGTTTAAAACTATAGACAGGGTTTGTGTTTACTCTAGGATAACATAATTACTGCAAAGAAGGATGTTAGCTCCTGGATTGCAGATTTACTAAAGGGATTAGTGTTATTCTAGGATTGATGTTTACTTCAGTGCTGAAGAATCACTGCAAGGGTTGCGTTGCATTTTTCAGGATTACAGATAAATCCAAGGATCAGTCTCATTGATTGCGATTTACGAAATATGGCATGGATTTGTGTTTACTCCCGAATTACAGACTGCAAGAATTGGTGTTTTTATCCAGAATTACAGATTACTGCAAGGATTGGTGTTTTATCCAGAATTGCAATGCAGACTGTAAGAATTAATGTTTCACAGATTACTGCAAGGATTGATGTCTCCTTAAGAGGCCGAATTTAATGTGTTTGAACCGCATCGCTGAACCGCCAATTACTGGTTCAAATTGCGCGCTGGCTTAAATCTCGAAACACTGATTAAAATTACAAGTCTAACTAACCATGTTTGAACGGTTCAAATTCTATAAATTCTGCCTCTGAAAGGATTGATTTTTATTTTCTGAGAAGGTGACACATTCACTGCAAGGAATGGTGTTTGTTTAAAGGGACCGTTCACTTATTTGGGTAATTTCAGGGTAAACTAAACAGCCTAGTAATAGTCTTACTTTTCAAAGACATCTGTGGCCGGAGAAAAAGTTGATTTTTCGTTCAGAATTCGAGCGCAAAGGGACGGTCCCTTTCTATAGACACTAATTGATGTTTTTTTCAGCATGTTGTGAATCAAAATAAATTTCGAATATAAAATTAAACTGTAGTATCTAATCGTTAATTGTAAATGTCATTATTTTTTTTTTTTTTTTTACTTTTTTTTTTTTAAATAACACTATTTTATCGCATTCAAAATTGTGTATTGCCTGTGTAAAAAGCTGAATTGGACGCGGCATGACAAATGAAAAGTTGTGCACATACGGGAAAAAAATATACAATATCTACAAACCAAAATACGATTAATGATTAATTGATTGTCGTAGAGACGTCGTCTTTGTAAACACATTTTACATGTTTTAATACGAAAAACGTAAATTTCTTGCTAACTCAAATATCAAAAGTTTTAAGATTTTTGTACATAATAACGAACACATAATGACACTAAAATATAATAAATTTAAATGTTATTGGGCTGCTGTTACTGAAAAAAACATCAAATAGTGTCTATAGAGAGGGACCGTCCCTTTCCGCTCAAATTCTAGACGAAAAATTGGCGTTTTCTCCGGCCACCAGTTGTCTTTGAAAAGTAAGACTATTACCAATCAAGAGCGAATAGGCTGTTTAGTTTACCCTTAAATTACCCAAATAAGTAAACGGTCCCTTTAAGAATAACGGATTTACTGGAAAAATTTAAATTTTCAATATGATTATATGATACAAGAATCTGTCCTTAATCTAAAAAAAACTTATTTTGCATGGAGGGTTACTTGAAATTAAACTTCTTTTCAGTTCTTTTCAGGGTAAAATGTCTTGGACGGAATTGTATTTCTGTCACAACAATATTTGAAGATATAGAAAACTCTAAGATTTATTTATCTATGAACATATGTTTAAAATGTAAAAAATAAAATTAAAGAAAATCTTAAGTTATGCAGTACACAAATACAATCCCGTCTTAATGAGAAAGCGAACCTCCCACCTCACTTATTACTGAAGGTGTAGATTGATTTTTGTGAATTTTCTCATAAATCTTGTTAGAAGGACAGAAGGTTAGAATAGGGAGGGAGAAGAGGTATAAGAAAGCTGCATACCGATACTATCTGCTTTAAGTACATTTACTTGTCAGATAAATGATTTCAAACTATTCCAGATCTGGCAGAGGTATGTCGGTATTGAGGAGTGACAGAGAGGAAGCATTATCAAATATAATCAATTCTAGGGTTTTCAATTAATATGCAAACTGTGCTTTTCGGACTGAAATTTCAAGCATTTTTTAAATACTTGGATGAATTTAATGTTCGTGATCGCTAGGCTAATAAGTGATGGGTCACACACAGTTCTATTTCTTTAAGGTAGGAAACTGTTAAAAATAATTGAATTCATGAAAAAGAAAGAATAATTTTATTTCCCGGGAGAATAATATGCATATACATGAATATCATCAGACCTTTATAATTGCAAACACATTTTTGTAGAAACTAAAGTACAAGAAAAATTAAACCAGATGAATTCTTCTCGAAATAAGATATCTACATACGTATCTATAAAAACGAAAAATTTGGAAATCTACAAATGGTAACATAAAATCTGCGAAAAGGAACTGAGTTTTTGTCACAAACTCTACTTTTCTAATCTCTATATCTTTGCTACCTTATATCGTAGACCTTTGGTATTTTAAACTATGAATTTGAATAATCTAAGTTTGAAATATCAAAGGTTTGAATAATCAGATTGCAAAGATATAAGGATTAGACAATTTGAGTTTGTGACAAAAACTCAGTTCCTTTTAGTTTTATGCTTACCAAGAAAAAAGTTGTTGCATGAAAAGTAACATTTAAAAAGCAAAAATTATAAAAGCCTAGTATTATAAACTGATAAAAATTAGGAGGTTATGACATTCAAGAATAGTAATATATTTGTGTATTCTCTGCAGTGTTTCAGGATCCCCAGGCGAACTAACTGTTCCATAGTGTAATGAGATTTATGTTGAGGTCGGAGAGAAATATATGATCATCCCAGGCAAAGTTCCGGAATTAATTCTGTCTAGGATTGAGAATATTAGAAATTTTAGAATTTTTCCCGGATTTTCCGGTGAAAGCCTGGAGATCCTTTTTTACTTTCAACCATAGATAAGATAAGAATAATTATGGCAGAAAATGATCGATAAAGGAGGAAAACCTGGAGGTTTTAACCATCTAAAGATATTATCAATAAACTTCCAACAAACGTACTCTTCTCTCTCTCATATTAATTCTTCAGGTTTCATTTAATCCATCTGTGCAAGCCCCCATAGGATTAACGAGAATGTTTTGGTACAGTTTTCAATTCTAACCATCCATCAATAACCCATGAAGTTAGAACTGACGAGGGTCAACCCAGACCGAAAAATATTTTCAATAAATGTGGAACTAACATCTACTTTTTTACTCTACAGAGTCTTATGATGTTCCACACAAATATTGGACCTAAAAGGCCAAGAAAATACATACGTAAATATGTAAAATGTTTAACATTTTGTATTTAAAATCTGTGTAGCGCGCTGGATCGGTTCATTTTATGTTTCAGGCATAACCTTCCGTTTCTTTAAAGTAACTGTAAGCCTAATTTCAAGTGGCCCTCCATGAAAAGATGACAAAGTCCGATTGACAACGGTACCTTTAAAACCTTTGTCTATTCAAGTATGAATTAGATATCATTGTTTAGCATTTTGAAAACTGATTATTTTCAATTGTGATTCCTTTACAAACGTGACTTGCGCATTTCTTCTGCATGAAAACATGAAAGGAAATATCAGAATTTAACCCTAGAAAAACGAAAATTTCTTCTACATCATTGATCATTTAAAAGTTTCAAAAGGGTAATATTGTGAATCGGGCATTTCCATCTTTGTAAGGAGGGTGACATGGAATTGTGTTTACAGTTCCTCTAAAATATCTATTGCTAGATTTCCCGTATATCCCCGTAATTAAACTGAAATCCTAGATTCAAAAGTTTACACTTTAGATATCGCAATCAGTCAATTTGATTTAAGCGCTATAACAACTAAAAGTATCAGCCTCCTAGTGAAGCTAAGCATCTAACCCATATACAGTAGGTTTATGTTGGCATCTCAACTATCAAAATAAACATTATGAATTCAGGCTTAATACTAATAGATGCTCACAGTTCCAACCCGTTTACTTTATATACAAATAAACAATGTATCAATAGATATTTTATAAAAACTGACAAGTTTATCTATTCATCTGTAAAACAAAAAGTAGGTTAAATTGAGAATTGTACAAAACTTAAAGGCTGATTGGACCCAAACATTGTTTAAAAGTTAGAGTACCTTATAGATATAGATATTTCATCAGACATAACATTTTTAAAGTTTAAATTTTCAAAATAAAATATTGATTTTGTTTTACTGAACATTACTGTAATATCCTATATAGCACTTAATGTACTGGATTGTTCTGTACTGTATTGTACTGCTCTGTCGTATACTGTACTGCAGACTATAAGAGGTATCGAATCTATGTAAGAAAGTCACAGGGAAAAAAAGTTTGTGGAAAAAAATCTGAAAATAAAAACTTCAGAAAAAAGTCCCAATTTTCTGAAGTCCTAGGACAAAATGTCACTGAAAATAAAGTCCTGAGTTTTAGATTCCTGGGACTTTTTTCCTAAAATAGTATGGGGCTGCCAATAAAATCTCAGGGAATAAAATCACAGGAATAAAAGTCCTGAAGATAAAAGGTTCTAAGTCTTGTGAAAATAAGGTCAAGTCTAGGACGTTTTTATAAAAAGGATTTTTTTCTAAGCATCTGCATATTGAATATATCCAGGGGTGTTTTTATATCAATTGCCCCTTTTTTTTGAATGGTTGTAAACATCCTTTGTTCCCATGCATTCCCATACTATAATAGGACTTTATTTCGGGGACTTTTCTGTATTAAATCATACTGGAACCAGAAAAAAAGTCTCAGAAAATAAAGTCTGAAAGTGGTAGGACTTTATTTCCAACAACTTTTTATTTCATGGACTTTTCTTCCACACGACTGTTTTAGTGCCGAAAATTAGAACTTTTTTATCGGTTACCAGAGGGATCTACCCCTGTACCAGAGTAAGAGAGGAAAGACTGGTGAAGTATTCTCTCTTGAAAGATTTCCTTCTAATCTTTCAAGAATTAACGAAATCTCACTCCTCTAGATTGATATATGAGAATATCAGAGAAGGAGATTTTCTGAATTTTATAATGTTCAATTTTACTTTCTATAATTTTCTTTTGGTTTTCAGACAGGTTTTCAATTTAAAATTTTTTTATATTTTAAAAGACGTCAATAAACCGATCAACGATGTGGAGATCATTGATCATTGTTTTGAAAAAATCAAGGATTTGAAGATTAAAAATATCTGCAATTATATTTTAGATGTTACAAAATCTTTAAAAAAGAATTAACAATCTTATCATTTTTATTACCTTTTTCTGAAATGGATCGTCATCGTTGTAATTAAAAGTGAAATTCCGTTTTAAGAATGATATTTTCGATTAACAACAATACCCTTTTAATTTTTATCTGATCAATAATATGAAAAAGGGGTTTCTAGCTTGAAAAGTATTTAATTATGACAATTCCTCCATTTTTTAAAGTAGAAATGTGAAAGTCACGTTATAGAGAATCCGTCAATTTTTAATTCAGATGATAAATATCTCATCCATTCTTGATCATAGAAAATGCTTTTAAGGGTACCGCAGTGAATCGGATTTGTCACTCTATAAATTGCGTCAACAAGTAGATAAATTGCGTCAACAAGTACCGTAATAGGGACTGTAAGCGTAATTTCAAATGACTCTTCAAGCAGATACCGTATTTTTTCTGACTCGAACATTTCTCCATTGCTTTTTTGAGAAATAAAAGTCACTTATCAGAGAAACCGCAAATAAAATAAACAGTTTAAAGAAACAAAAACATGGATATCTAATTCATACTTGATCAGACAAAACCGTCACCGTTGTAAATCGGGCATTTTTATCATAGCACGGATGGTTACTTGAAATTACACTTACATTCTTTTTAAGCCCCTTTTTAAGCCCCCCTTCCCATTCCCATAGGCCCCAAGTCTATATTTAGCAAAGAGATGGAGACAAGATAAAGGCTAGAATTAAGTTTGTTTGAACCAGAAACTAGAAAAGCATTATTTTAAGGGGAGGAAACTATAGTTCTTAGTTTCAGAGATAAACTTACTGTTCTTCTCAAATTAGGGGAGAAAAACATACAAACTAATTCATTAGTTCACTCATTTGTAGATTCATTTAGCAGATTCTTCATTAATTACAACTTTTTATTATGCTACAGTGGTCAGCATAAAACTGTGGAATACAATGACGAAGCTGGTATTTTTTATAAGTTTAAAGAACACTTTTCCAGAGGTTTTAATTGTATTTTTAAGCATACTTTTCAATCGATCGGTCATTTTCTTACATGCTGTTGATGTAAAAAGTTGTTTTCTGCAGAAGAAAGGATTTCGACATCCTTAGTCAGAAAAATATGTAAACGTGTTTCATCTGCAGAATTTGGAGAAAATGTCTTGAATAAAAATTGTTTTTATATTTATCACTCAATCATGGAGTACATATTTAAAGAAAATCAATAATGGGACTGTGTAAGCGTAATTTCAAGTGACCCTCCATTTGTGAAGTGGCGTGTCTGATTCACAACAACATTTTAACTGTTCAAACACTGTAAGTTTCGGTTTATTTCAAGTACCAGGCAGAATTTTACCAGCTAGAGCAAGCTGTACAGTACAATTACAGACTATATATAAGACAAGGAGAATTGAATAGAAGGAGGGGGCAATAGGGTTTCCGTACACTTTGCATTCCCACACTTTACATGAAGGGTTACTTGAAATTACGCGTGCAGTCCCTTTAAAGGAAGAATTTTTCCTACCTGGAAGAAAAGGCAGAAGCAAACCCATTGATAATATCTGACATATCTTCTCTCCTCTGGATCTACAGTTTTATCTATCCCAGGATGAGCAACATCTATTCCAATACGTTTCCAGAATGCGCTGGGTATAGTGTAGGTGGAGTGTATCCAACAATAGGTATTTAATACATCTTCAGGGATATCTTTAGTATGAACACAGTCTATAGGGTTTCCAACATACTGCCTACCATTCACAAACTTTTCAATTTAACCCAAATATTTCGGGTTATTTCTAAATCGGGTCGGAGGAAAAAATAATACAATTGTTTAACTCAAGGTTATTGAGTAAGGTTGCTTACTCTCGATGCGCTCCAGTGTACGGAAAATGTCGTCTTCTAAGCAATGGACAGTGACATCCGTAAATGACGTCATTGATTATAGATGCGATTTTACTGTCCATTGCTTAGGAGACGACATTTTCCGCACATTCACATTGTTATTTTAGTCTCATGATCCGATTCTGTATTTATTAGTACTAGCCGGTCCTTTTGTCCTATCATCTAAATCTGATAATTGAACTGGCACGAATTCTGTACAAGTATTTACAAGTAACAGCAGGTCCTTTTGTCGTACTGTCTACACTCTACACTTGATAATAGACCCGGCTCGAATTCTTTAGCCTGGTTCAGCTTGTATGGGAAAAAACGCAGGCTGACTAAACCAGTATGTGGAGAGCATCGAAAGTAAAGCAACCCTACTAAACAACCTTGGTTCAACTAAAACATTATGATAAAATTGAAAAGTAAGATTTTCTATTTTTTAACGCATTGAAAAGTTAGAGTTTCCTAGTTGTAACAATGAGAGAGAATGCGAGAAGGAAGGTTACACTAGCAGAGTAATGTAATCTGAATATACTGGAGTCTATAGTCGTAGCATGAGGTTTCACTAGACCTTTTAGTCCACGGAATATATCCAACATATCTGAACATTAATGTCTATTGGTCTTGAGGGTTTCCTTCGCTCCTTTCCGTTGGATCTGTTTCGTTCTGGGAGTTTCCGTTTGCTTCTTTCTGTTCTGAAGGGTTTATTTTGCTCCTTTCCGTTCTGGTTTTTTCCCGGAGATTTATCCTATCAACATCAATAACTAGCAGTATGAGCTACTTCTGGAGTTGGATACAGTGCTATCTGGAAGTTTGTATGCATTAACTTCTATGCTAAAAAACTTCACTTTAGGATGCTCCTCAGAACTGCACAATTTTAATGTTTGAAACCGATTCTTGTAATTAAAGAATTTTCTTTCTTACAAATTTTCCGGCAAGCATCTATTTTGTACGAAGAATATTCCACTTTACTGAATATTAAATCGGGTTTTTATATAATATCACATATTCTTGATTCTTCCCATGGTTCAGTTGTTTCCTCTGTTTACCTAAATAGAAGAACAGATAAAGAATTTCAAAATGTAATGTTAAAAAGTATTTTAGAAAACCTTGAGCCATGTTTGTAATTCTTTCAATGGTTTATCAACCGTTGATTAAATACAGTTGATTGTGTACCGTTGATTATCTACCGTTAATTATCTACCATTAAATACCTACCGTTGTTTATCTACTTTTGATTAATTATCTACCGTTAATTATCTACCATTGAATATCTACCGTTTTTTATCTACCGTTGATTATATACAGTTGATAATCTACCGTTGATTATATTGTGATGATTATATTCCGATGATTATTTACCGTTTCTTATTACCGTTGATTTACTACTGTTGAATTTCTGCCGTTGATCATCTACTGTGGATTATTTTCCATTGATTGTCTTCAGTTTATTTTATGTATCATTGAATTTCTACCATTGATTATCTGTCATTAATTATCTACCACAGATTATTTACCGCAGAGTATCTACTGTCGATTATCTACCGTTGATTATCTACTTTTTATTATTTACCGTTGATTATTAACCATTGATTATCCATCGTTGATTTTTAGCGTTGATTATTACCGTTTATTATCTATCGTTGATTATCTACCGTTGATTATCTACTGTTGACTATTTACCGTTGATTATCTGTCGTTGCTTGTCTACCGTTGATTATCTACCGTTGATTATTAACCGTTGATTTTCTACCGTTGATTATATACCGATGATTATTAACCGTTGATTATCTACAGTTGAATATTTAACGTTAATTATTTACCGTTGATTATCTACCATTGATACCGTTGCTTCTCTACCGTTGATTATTAACCGTTGATTTTCTACCGTTGATTATCTACTGATGATTATTAATCGTTGATTATCTACCGTTGATTATTTACCGTTAATTATCTACCGTTGATTATTTTCCGTTGATTATCTACCGTTGATTATTTACCGTTGATTATCTATCGTTGATTATCCACCGTTGATTATCTGCCATTGATCATCTACCGATTATTATCCACTGTTGAATATCTCTTTTTGATTATCTACCGTTGATTATATACCGTTGATTATTTACCTGTGAAAATAATTTAGTTTAATTCCAGGGTCCAGAGCACAAAAGCATCTTTTACACAGCATCTAGATAAAATAAGCTTAAAAACATTTTCCCTGTTGTAAAAAAGGCGGGAACCCAGACATAATTTGTTAAAATCCGTCAGTTTTATGATCTATTGTCAGCTAAAAAGTGAATTAAATTTTAAAAAGAAAAAATAAGATTTAATAGCATAATTTTTCGGAAACTTGAAAATCAAAAAAAAACAAAGATAAAAAATAAACTCTGCTAGAGTTCAAATGTTCTGCAGTAATCTATACAAGTATCAGCAAAATGTTTACGCGTGTTACTATTTTTGCAATTCCATCATGAACATTTCTGCCAGATGAAATTATAGAAAAATTTGAGATAAATAAGATAATTTAAAGATTATCAGTCTAGCATGATGAACTGTAACGGAAGAAATGCTAAATTCAAAAGGAAAGATCTAAGTGAAATATATGCTTGAAAAATCCTGGGTTTCGTGTAAATAATAAATTATTTAAAAGCCTGGAATTTTTTAAACAGCCGATTGTATGGTTATTGAATATATTTATTTCTAAATATATAAAGTAGTAATCTCTGTGTGTATCGTCTGTCTGTCTTTCTATTAGTTTGTTTGGATCAGAACTCAATAGAACCACGAGAATGTCTCAGCGTAGTTTATAAAATCTAAAATGAATGGGATGACTCAAATAAGGAAAACGTTGATTCCATGCAAAGCTGGGTTCCCTGGCTAGTCATACAATAAACATGTACTACGTTTATTAAAAAGCGTACTTCAGTTTCCGTAAACAAAACCCTAACCATATGCTTGTTTATATTCCTCTTACAAACTGCAATACATTTTTACATGTTCTATCCAAGGTTATAATGCAAGGAAAGTTAATTGCAGTTGCGTATACTCTGCGTACATATTGAAGCCAGTTCTCTCTGGGCGTAATTTGTAAACAAGAATAGATGCATCAGTGTTCGTTTAGTATCCGAGGAGGTTAAAAGGATTAAATTTTGATAATTTTGATAATTCACATAATAGTTTTATATGACCAGATTATTTCATTGATTTTTTTATGTGAAAGATGGATCCCATGTCAGGCTACGACATCCTTCTTGTGTTTACATTACCGCCCAGAGACAGTACACTGCAGTAAAAAAGATGCGTACACCTCTGAAATTTCTTTCCTTGCATTATAACTCTGGTTCTATCCATGTTCTGAGAATGTATAATAGTGTGTACTAAAGTATATACTTTGGACTTTTAGTTGCTTTAGTTTGCAAATTAAATTTTTTAAATTTTTTTTCATAATATTTTTCCCAGGGCTTAAATGTTGGTTCGATGTCTGTAATTGGTCATTCAGCCCGTCGCAGACAATATTCTTCAAATATTTCAATCTTATTTTTTATAACGAATAAAATGAAAATTTACAAAATGCCCTAGCGTAAACAATAATAAAAGCCTTATAGATAAAATAATGGCTCATGTCGTCATGCCGGAGGGTTTTAGCTCAATTTGAAAATGGCAATTTAGCTATAGTACTAGCTACTGACATACAGTACATTGTAGTTAAAGAGTTGTGACAAGTATCTTTGTATCTAGGATTTAAGCCTATACTTTATTTACTGGTGAGCAATGTATGTAGACTACATACCTTTGCAGCATAGTATATATTTTGCAGGTAATAAAGTTCAGTGAAGAAATATTAAAGAAATGATAATGCTAATTATTTGATTTAGGTTTTTCATTATGTTTTCTCTGTAACCAAGAGAGTAGGATTGGTCAAATTACAGAGGTATCCTACGCGAAGACCAGAAACTAATGTTTTTAAATCTTAAAGTTCGGGTGAAAGATGAATTTATTTCTCCGTGGGCATAAAGATTGGAGGGGGATTTCTACATATATTACTTCACACGGAACAGGGAAGAAAATTATTCTTATCTCTTGCTGCCATGGCCAAGCATGGATCAGCATTAATTCTATCAGATCTTTTCAATGAAAATAAATGATTTGAGAAGGTTTTGAATATATATTGGGAATTCAAGTCTTGATCTGAAACTTCATTTAGGTCTAATTTACAAAAAATTAGAAAAATAAAAGTACAAAACTCCGATAATTTTTAAAGCCTGATCTCCCTAGAAATTTATTATTTTGAGAAAACACTTTATATTCTTTGAATGGATTTTATTCTTATCTTTAAGCTTATTTTTACCATTTCATAAAATGTTGAACCCAAGAAAACAATCATTAATAAAATATAAGTTAAATTTACTTTTTATATTTTCTGGCAACTTGAAAGCTTTTAGTTTTAAGTCAATAAGTTAATATCCCAACAGTTGGGCGATGCCAAAAATAAAAAAAATATGTTATACGGGCTGTTGTGCCCGTGCGACTTTACTTATTTAAAGAAATAAAATAAAAGTAAATTTGGTCTAACGACGACGACCTCTAATCAATAAATCATCATGTTTAGTAGTATACACCGTATATTGTACATAATACGGGGTTGGATTTCTCCGGTTTCAATATTTAAATCATCATTTTTAGTGGAATACACTGTACATACATTGTACATAGAACGGGGATAGATTTCTCCGGTTTCAATATTTTATAAACTGGACAAAAGAATAAAAAGGCAATGTTTGCTTTGTTAATAGAAGATAAATCAGCTGAAAAAGAAGATTTGTGGTTGGAACTAAGCTCCAAGTTTAATATTCCAATTGCAGTTCTTGGTTGGAATCTCAGGGATTACACAACAGAGCTCCCTGTATTTGCAACTCTTAGGAGTAAATACCGTAACTCTAGATTCCCCTTTAATTCTAGTTTCTAGAAGTAAACTCTGATATCTAGATTCTAGAAGAAAACCCTGGAAATCTAGATTCTGAAAGTGAACCCTGGAATTATAGATTCTGAAAGTAAACCCTGGAAATCTGGATTCTGAAAGAAAGCCCTGGAAATCTAGATTCTGAAAGTAAACCCTGGAAATCTAGATTCTAAAAGTAAACCCTGGAAATCTGGATTGTGAAAGTAAACTCTGGAAATCTAGATTCTGAAAGTAAACCCTGGAAATCTAGATTCTGAAAGTAAACCCTGGAAATCTAGATTCTGAAAGTAAACCNACTTTACTCCTTCCATACTACATATATACCATATACCACAACTTTACTTTACCCCTTCCTTACACAACCTACCTTTACTCCGCCTCTTCTATACTATATCCATACTTTACTCCGCCTCTTCTATACTATAACCATACTTTACTCCGCCTCTTCTATACTATAACCATACTTTACTCCGCCTCTTCTATACTATAACCATACTTTACTCCAACCTCACTTTAATACAACCCTAGAATACTCTATCCTTATTATACTCCAACCTACTTTATTTGATCTTACTATGCTCCAACCTTACTTTATTTGATCTTACTTTACTCCAACCTTATTATTTACTCTAACCATGTTTTACTCCATCCTTCCATTACTTTAACCTTACTTTATTCCAACCTTACTATACTCCAACCTACTTTATTTGATCTTATTATAATCCAACCTAACTTTATTTGATCTTACTTTACTCCAACCTTACTTTATTTGATCTTACTTTACTCCAACCTTTTTATTTACTCTAACCTTGTTTTACTCCATCCTTTCATTACTTTAACCTTACCTTACTTTAACCCTTATATACTACAACCAAGATAGAGAGCGTCTTTAGAGCGTCCATACTTGACTCCATCAGCCTTACTTTATTTCAAACCTTACTTTTTTTAAATTTTACTACTATACTGCAAACTTTCTTTACTCAAACCATATTTTATTCCGTCTTTATTTAACTTCAACCTAACTTTATACTAACCTTACTATACTAAGACCTTATCAAATCCAACCCTTATATAATGAAATCATTATACACTACAATTCCGTACTCCAATCTTACTTAACTATAACCTTATTTTATTATTTTTTTATCTTTTTATTTTATCTATCTTATTCAACCTTCTTAATTCTTTCTACCCTTTTTCTTATCCAACCATTCTATACTCCAACCTTCTTAATTCTTCCTACCCTTCATCTTATCCAACCCTTCTATACTCCAACCTTCTTAATTCTTCCTACCCTTCATCTTATCCGACCCTTCTATACTCCAACCTTCTTAATTCTTTCTACCCTTTATCTTATCCAACCTTTCTATATTCCAACCAATTTAACTCCTCCTAACTTTCATCTTATCCAACCCTTCTATACTCCAACCTTCTTAATTCTTCCTAACTTTCATCTTATCCAACCCTTCTATACTCCAACCTACTTCTTCTTACCCTTTATCTTATCACATCTTAAGGTATTCAAACTTCCCGCAACTACCAACCATTCCCTCATTCTTTCTGTATATCCCTGTGACAATGGGTAAATAAACCCATTAAATGAGAAAGACCCATCTCCCAGCTTGTTTATTGAATGGTTTACATCTATCCCCGCTCAGCCCGCTCAGCTAACATTAAGTGCATTACTGAGAAAAAGTGTGGTTGAGATAAATAGCTAGTCTGTTATGTATTACGCTTAAACAAAAAAAATGTATTTTCAAATAATATAATTAAAATTAGCTTAGGTAGGTACATTAGTTTCTAAAAGAATTATTCAGATGTCAATTATAGTTATCATTTCTACGACATTGGGTTGCAAAAATATAGGGATTTAAAAATCTGCGTTTTCGGCAAAAACTCAATCCCTTATCTAAAGATAAAATAGGTAACACAATTAAAGTATGAGCTATAATTTATTTAGATAAAATTTTGAATATTAATATAAATAATTCTCAAATTCATGACTTTTTTCTTATTTATGTGTATATTTAACAGAGGATCCCTAACATGTTAAATCTAAATGAATGGATTAAAGTTTAGAAGTTTGCTTACAAACATTAATTACAAGATCAATATTATGAGAAGTGACAAGATAGAACAGGACAGGATATTTGATATAGATTCATCAGAAGAGGGCAAGTTTGACAGGTCTAACAGTAAACGATAGGACAAACTGATATCTAGACAACTTTGAAAATTAGTTTTCAACTTTTAAGAAAGGCTTGACTTTAAACTGTCGCAACGCCTTGGCCTTTGTTTCAACCTCACCAATTCTTTTTTACTTTTATGCAGCCCTAAACATAAACACTTCAAAAATAAACTGCGCTTGTTTCTAGCTTAAGCTTAAAAGGAAAATTACGTGACAGGAGAGGACATTATAGATGGATATCAACAGAACAGGATATTGATGACAGGAAAGGATAGGACTGGACATGACAGGACAATTTACAGGACAAGATACAGAACATTTGACATGGATATAAATAAACGAAAGGTATAGCGGGAAAGGACAAGGTGAAGACAGGACAATGACAGGACAAGGTGAAGTTAGGACAAGGTGAAGTTAGGACAGGGTGAAGTTAGGACAAGTTGAAGACAGAACCAGGTGAAGACAGGGCAATGACAGGACAAGGTGAAGACAGGACAATGACAGGGCGAGGTAAAGACAGGACAATGACAGGAAAGGTGAAGACAGGACAATGACAGGACAAGGTGAAGACAGGGCAGGATATTGAAGTTAAACGATGAACGTATTGCATTGCAAAGTGTACAAATAATGTACTGTTCTGGTGTACATATGTAGAACTGTAACGTGTTCAGTTCTGGTGTACATATGTAGAACTGTACCGTGTACAATGAGCATCGTAAATCTTGCCGCGGGCTCTTAACATCTTTACAGCTTGAGTTCACATTCTGTTATAAAGTTTAGCTTCCCTGTAAATGCAGAATATGCTCGGGAATATTTAAATTTAAACGAGAAGAATTAATATAAAATCCCAGTTTGGAGCCAGCTGGGATTAAACAGTTTCCTAGTTTTTTTGTATGAAACCGGGAAAAGTTTGAATTCAACAACAAATGTGAAATGGTTGTCAGCGGGTTGAAAAGATTAATTTTATTCCTTTCAGGATTCCATGCTGTAGCAAAGAGAACCAATTCAGGATTCTGGTTCCTTTTCATGGTTCTTTAATTTAAGGTTTAGGTTCCTATAGTTCAAGGTTTAGGTTCCATAGTTCAAGGTTTAGGTTTCTATAGTTCAAGGTTTAGGTTCCTTTAGTTCAAGAGTTAGGTTTCTATAGTTCAAGGTTTAGGTTTCTATAATTTAAGGTTTAGGTTTCTATAGTTCAAGGTTTAGGTTACTATAGTTCAAGGTTTACGTTCCATAGTTCAAGGTTTAGGTCCCTATAGTTCAAGGTTTCGGTTCCATAGTTCAAGGTTTAGGTTTCTATAGTTCAAGGTTTAGGTTTCTATAGTTCAAGGTTTAGGTTTCTATAGTTCAAGGTTTAGGTTCCTTTAAGTAAAGGTTTAGGTTCCTATAGTTCAAGGTTTAGGTTCCTATAGTTCAAGGTTTAGGTTCCATAGTTCAAGGTTTAGGTTTCTATAGTTCAAGGTTTAGGTTTCTATAATTTAAGGTTTAAGTTTCTATAATTTAAGGTTTAAGTTCCTATAGTTAAAGGTTTAGGTTACTATAGTTCAAGGTTTACGTTCCATAGTTCAAGGTTTAGGTTCCTATAGCTCAAGGTTTAGGTTCCTACAGTTCAAGGTTTAGGTTCCTACAGTTCAAGGTTTAGGTTACTAAAGTTTAAGGTTTAGGTTCCTATAGTTCAAGGTTTAGGTTCCATAGCTCAAGGTTTAGGTTTCTATAGTTCAAGGTTTAGGATCCTTTAGTTCAAGGTTTAGGTTTCTATAGTTCAAGGTTTAGGTTTCTACAATTTAAGGTTTAAGTTTCTATAATTTAAGGTTTAAGTTCCTATAGTTCAAGGTTTAGGTTACTATAGTTCAAGGTTTACGTTCCATAGTTAAAGGTTTAGGTTCCTACAGTTCAAGGTTTAGGTTCCTATAGTTCAAGGTTTAGGTTTCTGTAGTTCAAGGTTCAGGTTCCTATAGTTCAAGGTTTAGGTTTCTGTAGTTCAAGGTTCAGGTTCCTATAGTTCAAGGTTTAGGTTCCTATAGTTCAAGGTTCAGGTTACTATAGTTCAAGGTTTAGGTTTCTGTAGTTCAAGGTTCAGGTTCCTATAGTTCAAGGTTTAGGTTCCTATAGTTAAAGATTTAGGTTTCTATAGTTCAAGTTTCTATAATTTAAGGTTTAGGTCCCTATAGTTCAAGGTTTAAGTTTCTATAATTTAAGGTTTAGGTTTCTATAATATAAGGTTTAGGTTTCTATAATATAAGGTTTAGGTTCCTACAGTTCAAGGTTTAAGTTTCTATAATTTAAGGTTTAGGTTTCTATAATATAAGGTTTAGGTTTCTATAATATAAGGTTTAGGTTTCTATTACTCCTAGATTTAAGGTTTTCTAAAAAATAAACAAGAATAGTGAAGAAAGGGAAAATCCTTAATTTCTCCACATTTTCCAGATATCTCTGCAATTTATATGATGAGGATAATTTGCAGAGAACAGGATTTATATTTTTTTCAAGAAATTTTCATTTTATCCTTCCAACTCCTTCCCAATTAATTGTTATAGGCGCAACTAAGGAAGGTTGGTGGGCAGAGTGACCGGGGTTTCTTTCTCACTCCCCACCTTTTCCTTCTCATCTTATTTTTTCTATTTTAAAGTTAAGTAAGGGAAAAACGTTACTTTGAAACTGTGTTTCATTTCTGTTTAAAGTTGCAAAGTACAGAGTTGTAATTTGTATTACATAGTGATCTATTATTTTAAGATGAACTGAACAAAGAGTAAAGAATACATCCTGTCCCTCTAACTCCGGCCTAATAATAGGTGTCCAATAAATATGATAATATAAAGACGACCTAAATATCGACTTTGATTTCTCACAGTTAATTAACTTGGGACGTTACTTAATGAACTGGAGAAAAATCGCTGAATCAGATCTTGAATTACCGATTCATTAGGATTTGAACCGGCGTTAGTTAGCTTAGCGACTTCTGCAATTCGATCATTAAATTCCGTCCCTCGAGTGTCTCATACAAAGATTTTAATATTTTTGAGTTTTATTGAGTTTTTAATTACTTGTTTTAAGCGGACTATTTGTTACAAAATTTGGTTTTTGTTACAAAAAAAACCTTTTTAGATAAAAGACGTTTTGAAAATTTTTCCTTAGCTCCATTTCTTGGAACATCCTATAATGATGGAGTGTGCAGGGCGGCTCGGGTGTGTTATGAAATTATGAAAGTTCGCAAAAACTTTGCTCAGTCAAATAAATAATTTTCCGCAAGGGAGGAGAGGGGTGGGGGGAGAAAGTGGGAGAGGATGGGCAGGGGGTATTAAACGGATTGTGAAGGATTACACAAGTCAGAAGAAGAATTAGAACATTGAAACCTTGAAAAAAGATTGGAAGAATTGGGTGGAGTGAAAGGATTAGATAGATTAGATTGGAGGATGGAACTCACGGAATAGATTCAGGATAAAATGGAAAATAGGGGAGAACAAATGAAAAAGAGTGGAGAACGAATGGAAATAGTGGAGAAAAAATGGAAAACAGCTGGAGAACGAATGGAAATAGTGGAGAACAAATGGAAAACGGCTGGAGAACGAATGGAAATAGTGGAGAAAAAATGGAAAACGGCTGGAGAACGAATGGAAATAGTGGAGAACAAATGGAAAAGAGTGAACGAATGGATAATACTGAAGAACGAATGCAAAATAGCGGATAACGAATTGAAAATAGTGAAGAACGAATGGAAAATAGTGGAGAACAAATGGAATAGAGTGGAGAACAAATGGAAAACAGCTGGAAAATAGTTGAGAACGAATAGAAAATAGTGGAGAACAAACGGAAACCAGCTGGAGAACAAATGGAAAATAGTGGAGAACGGATGGAAAAGAGTGGCAAACAAATAGAAAAGAGTGGAGAACGTATGGAAAAGCGTGGAGAACGTATGGAAAAGAGTGGAGAACGAAAGGAAAATAGTGGAGAATGAATGGAAAATAATGGAGAACAAATGGAAAAGAGTGGAGAACGAATGGAAAAGAGTGGAGAACGAATGGAAAAGAGTGGAGAACAAATAGAAAAGAGTGGAGAACAAATGGAAAAGAGTGGAGAACGATTGGAAAAGAGTGGAGAACGAAAGGAAAAGAGTGGAGAACGAATAGAAAATAGTGGAGAACGAATGGAAAAGAGTGTAGAACGAATGGAAAAGAGTGGAGAACCAATGGAAAAGAGTGGAAAACGAATGGAAAATAGTGGAGAACGAATGGAAAATAGTGGAGAACGAATGGAAAGAATGTAAAGATTAATTAAAAAAGTGAATATCTAGAATTTTGTAAATTTCTGAATAATTAATGTAATTATTTCTCAGACTTTAACCTTGATCACATAATACCGTTTTTAGTGCAAATGTTTTCCAATTTCTTTAAGTTTATATTTCTCAGGATTGTATATAGTATGATATCATGGTTAACTCTCTGTGTAGTTTCCTCCATAATATCTCAGTATTGTATAGAGTATGATATCATGGTTAACTCTGTGTGTAGTTTCCTCCATAATTTTCTCCTCTCAGCTTTTACCTAAATTGGAGAAGTTGGCAAGTTTAATATTGAACTTCATGATCAACATTGTAAACTTGGTTTTCAATTTAGGTTTATGTAATACTTTTCATATTTAAGTAATTGAATTATTAAAGTAGGAGTTTACTTAGATAAACACAGATATTTTATCTCCTAGATCCCCCAGATCTCCTAGAACATTTTAAACCTTCTAGATCTCCTAAATCTAAAAGATCTCTTAAATCTTCTAGAAATTCAAGATCTTCTAGGTCTCAAAGATCATCTATATCTTAAAGTTCTCATTGAGCTTCTATATCTCCTAGATCTTCTAGATCTTCTAGATCTTCTAGATCTTCTAGATCTTCTAGATCTTCTAGATATTCTAGATCTTTAAGATCTTCTAGATCTCCCAAATCTTCTAGTTCACCGAGATCTTCTAGATCTTCGAGATCTTCTATATTTATTTTATGATCTATATCTTCTAGAACTTCTAGATTTTCTAGATCTTTTAGATCTCCTAGATCTTCTAGATCTTTTAGATCTCCTAGATCTTCTATATCTCCCATATCTTCTAGATCTTCTAGATTTTCTAGATCTTCTAGATCTTCTATATCTTCTAGATAATTTTAGATCTTCTTTGATCTTCTAGATCTTCTAGATCTCCTAGATCTTCTAGATCTTCTAGATCTTCTAGATCTTCTAGATCTCAGATATCTTCTATCTCCTGGTTGGTCCGAAATAATATTTGTTTAAAGGACCAAAGAAATTGTGTTAATTTGAATATGCATTGTTTGTTTATTGTGGAAGTTTATTGAGCCCATAAAAACTTTGTCAATACGCATTCCCCCATTTCCGGGAATATTCATTCCCCAATTTCTAGGAATATTAATCTCCCAACTCCGGGAATATTCACTTCCCAATTCCGGGAATATTCACTGTCTCTACTCCGGGAATATTCACTCCCTCAATTCCAAAAACATCCATTCCCCCATTTGGTAATTTGTATTCCCCCATTTCTGGATGTACACTTTTCTGTTTTCCGGTCTGTAAAGGGTTAGTTCGTCATATTTAGGAGGATTGATATTTTAAAAGAAAAACTTGATTTATATTCTTGCCTAGCATTAAACATGAAAGTGATATCTTTCTTTTGATTTTGAAAAATGACATGAATAAGGAAGAAGAAATGTTGATCTGCCAGAACATATTGAATGTAGATAAACTCAATTTTGCAAAACAAAGTTAGAGATGAATTTCAATACTCTAGCCTTGGGGGAATGTAAAAGAGAGGAAAGGGGTCGGGGGGGGGGGATGAATTTGTTAAAGCATACTTCGACCATATAGTAATACCGATTTTAAAAATTAGGAATATTGAGAAAAATGCACCCTTAAACATTTTATTGGAAAATGTTCAACTGATTAAAAATCGCATTATGAGTTTTGATTAAAGTGACTGTAAAGAAATTGGAACATCCCTAATATAATATTTGTAAATAAAGATAAATTTGAATAACCCTAGTTGAATATCTTGTTCAGGCGGAATAAGAGAATGTTGGAACTTGTAGGTTTGGTAAGATAAACTGGTCCCTGGTCCACTCTTAGCAGAGATTGTTTTCATACTTTTACTTCCTACCATACATTTTCTCCATCCTACTATACATTATCTCCATCCTACCATACATTATCTCCATCCTACCATACATTATCTCAATCCTACCATACATTATCTCAATCCTACCATACATTATCTCCATCCTACCATACATTACCTCCATCCTACCATACATTTTCTCCATCCTACCTTACATTTTCTCTACCCATACTTACATTTTCTCCATCCTTACATAAATTCTCTCCATCCTAATATTAATTCTCTTCATACTAGTCTATGCATGCTCTATGAAAACTGCCTGTTATCATGATATTCTTCTGTATAAAGCCGAATCCTGTATTCTCCATGTGTAAACCTTTCTAACTGAATATTATGCATATAATGTTATTCTTGAAACTATAAATTCAGTTTAATATTGCGGTATCATCACATCCCTGCTTTTTCTTCAAATATTTAAACCCAGGAAATAATGTTGGTTCGAGGACAAGGATTAAATCTCTGTGTGCAAAAAGAACACAGAGAAGTAGAAACAAGTTTCCCTGAGTAACCAACTTCTTACTAATTTCTTTAACCTTATCGAAGCTCCCATTTCTTTTCTTTTTTCCTTTAATATATCGTGATGTCCTTCACATCAGTGTTAATAGAAAAAAAGTCCGACTGCGTATATTTTCGAAAATATGATTTATAGGAGCTTTAAAAATAATCATATTTGAAAATATTTTAAGAAGTGCTTTTTCAGGAGTTTGGGAATCCGTTGTTTAATTTTCAACTGCTGTTTGACACAGCCCCCCCCCCTCCCCCATAGATCTTAAAGACTTTTTCATGTTTTCACCTGGAGTGTTTTCTATTTAATTTTAGATTAGTTTGAAAATGTTAATACCCGGACATTTAGGGACGGTGCAGGCATTCCTTGAATTTTCATTAAATTTACTTTGAAAATTTATGTTTCTAAACCCATAGATTATCCAGGGGTGATTATTACAGGTTTAATTGTAAAATCTTGTACATTGGGTTTGCTTGTAGTACCAAGCTATGAGGAGAATCCAGATATATACCCTGATCTGTATCCCCCTGGTTTGCTGGTAGTACCAAGCTATGAGGATAACCCAGATATATACCCTGATCTGTATCCCCCTGGTTTGCTGGAAGTACCAAGCTATGAGGATAACCCAGATATATACCCTGATCTGTATCCCCCTGGTTTGCTGGTAGTACCAAGCTATGAGGAGAACCCAGACATATACCCTGAACTGTATCCCCCTGGTATTAGTGAATATTTATCCTAAATCTTGTCTTATCATCCCTCAATCTATTTATCAGATTAAAGGTATATATCAACAAGTCTATTTACGTACTAATGTTTAGTATCTTGAACATCAACATTCCGTATTCTAGGACACTCATCAATATTTAAGGAAATAAGTTAAAGCACATGTTTAGGTATACTTGAAACTTCAAAGTGTTTCTTTTCAAATCAATATTTTACAGTTCAACCCAGAACTTTGGAGACATCAAAATAATTTATAAAATGACGTTATCTAAACCTGCTGATAATGGAATGCTGCAGATATTTAGTCTTCTAATTGAATAATTATATGGAGCTATTCAAAACTGTTTACATATATTTCATGGCAATTTATTTATTTTACAATCACTGAGATGTAGGTGCAGATAAAATAGTATAGAAATCATTAAAAAATTGTCAAGTTCTGGTTCAAACTGTATGATATTTAAAAAAAATTAAATAGTTTTCCTAACCATATATTTTTTATACACTTTTTTGATCATTTCTAGAGTTTTTATCATTTGGCATTTGACATTTTTATATTTTTTTGATATAGGGGTACTGCAAGCTAAGTTACTATCATTATAGTTATTACTAAAAAGAATCTAATATTACAGCTTATATTTTATACCTTTTTCTGAAAAGATTATCCTACATCTTTTCTTCAGAAAATTTTCTTTAATCCACACTTAAACCAATTAAGTTTTTTTTTCAGACAATTGTGGACAGGATTGTGGACAGGATTGTGGTCAGGATTGTGGACAGGATTGTGGACAGGATTGTGGACAGGATTGTGGACAGGATTGTGGACAGGATTGTGGACAGGATTGTGGACAGGATTGTGGACAGGAATTACGTATTTTAAATGTTCCGTTACGCGCTGAAAACCTCTCATATATTTGTTTTCTGCTAAAATTCAGTTAATTTTAACATTTTTTTTTACAATTCCTCAACTAACTAAAATTCCTAGAAATGTTGAAAATTAAACTAAAGCATGAATATTTTTAAGAAATAGTTGCTGTCGATATAAGCGAACATGTTAGTTTTCAATATAGATTCATCCAAAGTTTAAAAACCGATTTTTATCAAACATAATTTTATTTCATATAATTACAAAATAGGAAATTGTCCTTGGGCCTTTGCTACAGCTTGCACCCGAATGGGTAGTGTAACAGATTAAGCTATGAGAGGATGTTTACATGTTTAGGATCAATTTCTAAGGAAACGGAGTCAAAATTCAACCAACAAAGCAACAAACAGAAAAGTGTGCTTTGGCCTATGCTCTTTTTACTAAAGCTAGTTCCCGATTATGCAAGGAATGGAACAAGAGAAAAAAATTTTACATTTGATAATTATAATTTTCTAAGGAATAGAAATCCCTAGTTTCCGGTTTAGTATCCGAGTAAAACTGTATAAAATAAGGATGTGTTGGACCTAATTAAACTTAATTAAATCTCAGACTTCTCCGTGAACTAAAGACTGGGCAGAGAGCGCCCAGCACGCCTTGTCTGTGAAAAATGCTAAATGAATTTTAGGAATCTATTTAGAACGGATTTTAAGCTTCTTCAAGACATTTATGCTTAGGTTTGTTTTCAACATTTTCCCCACATTGTAAACTTGTCAATTGGTCAGTTTTCTTTTTAATCCAGGATTGCATCATGCTTCTTTATAAATCTTTTAAACATGCTTTTTTCATCTTTTTTCATTCTTTTCACATCCTTTTTTTCGAATATTTTTCACTGCTCTACTTTAATTGAGAATTAGATAATAGATTCTAAAAAATTTTCGAATTTACAATTAATGTTTTCATTTTCTTTCGTAATCATAATTTTTCATTTTATTTCAGATCTTTCATTATTCTTGTTTAATTTTAACCTTTCCCAACCACTGACTTTTCTTACGCACTCTTCTTCTCTTGTCCCTTCTTTTTAAATTTTACCCCCTAGTCAACTCTTCCATTTTTCCTTTCTCTTCTAATTTTCTCAACTACGCTATTCTTATCAAGTCTTATCATCTTTAACTCTTTCCTATTCATTATAATGATCTCCTTCCCTTTTATTCTCCGATTTTATTATCTCCTACAATTTCCTACTTGTTCTAATCCTCCCCTATCCGTTCTGTTACCCCTTTCCCTTTCAACCCGTTACAATCCTCCACCTAACCTTTCCTATCCGTTCCAATCCTCCCTTCTCTTTCCTGTCCGTTTCTATTTCCCTCCTCCCATTTACTTCCTCCCGTTCCCCTCCTCTCCATTCCAATCCCCCTCCCCCTGGCCTTTCCTATCCGTTCAAATCCTACCCTTTCCTTTTCAGTCCGCTTTTATCCTCTCCTCCCATTTTATATTCGTTCTTATTTCCCCTATCATTTCCTATTCGTTCTAATCGTCCTCTATTTTTTCATGTTAGTTCCAAACCTCCGCTATCCTTTCTTGTACTGTCCGTTTAATCCTCTTTTGTCCTATTTTATCCGTTCCAATCCTTTCATTCCTATTCTTTCAATCTAATCTTTCCCTTTCATTTTATATCTGTTCTAATACTTACATTCCTATTCATTCAATATAATCTTTCTGTTCCAATCCTCATTTTTTCGTTTTAATCCTCCTCTTCCTTTACTTTCGTACCTAACCTTTAAAAAAGATCCCATTCCTATACCTATCCTTTTCTATCAGTTTAATTTTTACCCTGCTTTTCCCTTATTCTTTCTTATCCTTTCAAACACTTCGATGTCCTAACCTAACCAATCCTCCACTGTCCATTTGAATCATCACCTGTCCTTTCCTTTCCTGTACTCTCCAATCCTCCCCTTTCAGATTCTATCCGTTCTTATCCTCTCCCATCCCTTTCCGTTCCAATCCTCCCATTTCCTGTCAGTTCNCCCTGTCAGTTCCCATCCTCCCTTGTCCTTTTTATATCCGTTCCAATCCTTCCCTGTCTATTACTATTTGTTCCTATCCTAACCTTTCATTCCTTTTCGTACACATTTCCCCCTTTCCTTTTCTATCCGTTCAATCCTCTTCTGTTCTATCGGTTCCTAAACTTTTTTATCCCGTTAATCCACTATCCTCCCTCCTACCTAAACCTTTGCTGTATTTACCTTTCCTATTTGTGAAAATATATTTATAAAGTTGATTCTGATTAAAATTCTGTTATGGGGTTCAAGCATGGATAAAACGCAGGGGAATATATCCTTAACCTTTTCCTTTATTGAGACTACAGGGACTTAGACCAAATGGTTATTTTTACTCGGCGTAAATTAGAACTGAAAATAAATGAGCGGATTAACGTAAAGAGTTCTATAAGATTATCCGTGTTATTTATGTAGAATAAATCTGTTTACTGTTGAGTGAAGAAATTTTAAACCAAGAGTTTAAATGCTATATTGTGTTCTAGTTTAATGCCTGTGATACAGAAAGCTCGCGCGACAGTAAAAAATATTTTGTTAAAGAATGTATTTTAATGTTTGTTTTTATTTGTCAAACTGTTTTCACTCAGTTAACGTTATTTGTGTGGAGAACTGGAAACCTGTTTCACGAAGTTGTGATGAGATGATTCATTAATTTGCTAATCAATTAAGTAATTAAGGAGCTCAGCTAGAATTTAATTTACAAGTGTTTTCCTAAAGATCTGGAGTTGGGCCTGTAATGATTAGACGGAAAGTATTCAGTTTCCTTGTTCTTCGATCTCTAGAGTCTAACAACACATGAGACGGACGAATATGCAGTTTTTGTTTCATTTCAAACCCCGGGACGGAGTGAGAGTAAAGTTTAACCTGGGAGTAGAGTTGGTTTCTCCAGATATATTGAGAACCACGGAGAATTCGGAGAGTTTGCTCTCTCGGTTCACATTCTCAACTCTCACCAGATCTCACACTTCTATTCACGGAGCCTAACACTGCGGGAACTGCCTTTCCTTGCACAGGCCCAGACACTGCCTGACTGGCCTCAGAGGCTGTCCTCTCCAGGCCACCTGTCCTTACACCTGTGTACACGCACAGGACATACACACCGTATCGACCCGGTCAACTTATACCTTTACCGCGCTAGAATACGATGCATGGTTAATATCACTTTCTTTCTCATGCATAATATTCCTTTAGATTCAGAAGAACATAATATATATAAAAACTTATCTCCTTATTAACATCTATCAATACTTAACGAGATTGAAATTTTTACAATGCTTTACAATTACAACCAATATACATTTTTTGTTAATTCTAAGTTTCGTTAAAGAATTTTTGTTCTTAAAATATTCAATTTCGGTGAGTTCTGAGATTTACTATAGAGTGTACTCTATTACAAAGGTATTCTCCTTTCCCCCAATTAGTTAACCGTAATCTTTCGTCAAATCTCTCCAACTCTGCTTAATCCTAGTCCATGAACTTGAACTAGATTCTGAGTAGAAGAGTACTAGAAAACTAGGGAATACTAGTTCCCAACTTTTTCCACCAAAATACTTAACAAAAAGTTGGAATCATTTATATTAGCTGTTACCGGACTTGACTGCTTGTCTATAAGTTTCAATCTAATCCACTTTTATCCTACAGATTACTCACAGACCTGATACTTCTTTTATCCTTCAGATTATTCACAGACCTGATACTTCTTTTATCCTTTAGTTACTCACAGACCTGATACTTCTTTTATCCTTCAGATTACTCACAGACCTGATACTTATTTTATCCTTCACTCACAGACCTGATACTTCTTTTATCCTTCAGATTACTCACAGACCTGATACTTCTTTTATCCTTCAGATTACTCACAGACCTGATACTTCTTTTATCCTTCAGATTACTCACAGACCTGATACTACTTTTATCCTTCAGATTACTCACAGACCTGATACTAATTTTATAGTGTGTGTGTTGTTTTACATGTTCTCTAATATTTGTCTATATACAATGAGGAATTTATGGAACTTCGCCTTTTTTTCTAGCGCTATACTTTAATTGCAATCGAACATTTTCTCTTTGTACTTAGCTCTATTTAACAATAAAAACTTTTCCGCAGATTTTCCTCCTTTCTATGAATTCCGAAATGAATCACTACACAAATTTTAAAAAAAAATCCAAGTGTAACCCTCCCCATGGGATCATGTCAGGTCACACAAAAAAAAATGTTGGCCACTCGGGTCCAAGAAAATCAAACAGCCAAACTATACTTAGAAATAGTTGTTGATTTTTTTTAATGCATGAACAAACAAAACAAAAAATAAACATCAAAAATACATTTTTTTGAAAATAAAAAGAAAGAATTGTTTTAAGTTTTAAAATTTTTAATTTTCGTATTTTGTTTTGCAATTAGTGTTTAAAAAACATTGAAATTAAATGATTACATACCTACTTCATGTGTCAGTTGTGGAATTTAGCAAAGACTAGTTTTTATTTTTAAAAAAATTAGAATTTTAGTTTTTACTCCTTCCCCCCCCCCCCTATTTGACATCTAGTTTTGACCTTGTTTGACTGGTTTGATATTCTCCGCCAAGGTTTGGTGGTGTGAAGATTGAAATGTTCTCTTCTTATGTCTAGGATTGGGCTTGTCTTGTTCAGAGCAAAAACTCCAGGTACAAGGTCAGTTTCCTCAAGGAAAATTGCAGGATTCAGATACAGATATTGATAGATTTGGTTTCTCTGTTTGTTTGTATCCTATAAAAGTGAAACGGTTGAACAAATCGGACCAAATTTTTTTAACACAATCTCAAAGGTCTAAATAAAAAATATTTAAAAAAACTCCAATTCTAATAAAATTACGGAAATCCACCAATAAGAACAGAAAAATTTGTAAAAGTTGTACGGTCTAAAATCCAAGGGTCTTTAAATGATATTTTAATTTTCTCTCCAAATAATTTCAAAGAATATTTCTATAGAATGAGGTAAATTAAATTATAAGATCATTTCTCCGAACTCAGTTTTTGTTCCATAATATCAAAAAAAGTAATTTTGAGGGAACCTTTTGTAGGTTCAGCAACAACGCCAGAATCTTTTAAAATCAGTTGGGTATGGGTTTAAGCCAACAATCTAGAAGCTTCGATCGAAAATATCCTAATTCTATTTTTTGTAAATAAAGAACTCCGGCCCTCCTATAAAGAATAAATAATTTTGTAAAATACTTTCTTAAATCTAAAAAATGTGTTGGTAGGGTTTCAGTAGGTAATATTTTATATTGTCTAAAGTTTGTGTTTAGGGTGTCATGTCTATATATAGTTATACTGGATACAGGTTCAAGTATCCAACCATGAAATCAAACATATATATCCATTCATTCAAGTCTACCTTCTTCTCTTCTACATTTATAATGGAGCTAGATATCTCACATCGAACTGTGGAATATAAAGACGATATTTAAGCAATCCCTTTTGATGTTGTTCTGAAGCAAATAGTTTCAGTAGTAAAATCATACAGTGAATCCCAGATATATGAATACATAGCAAGATTTTTTTATAATGTCCTATTATATATTTAAGATCAAATGCCGCGGAAAAATGAGTTTATTATTAATATATCAAATTGCATTCATATTTCAGGGCTATATTAAACTCATATTTCCGTGGCATTTGATCTTAAATATGTAATACGACATTATAAACAACTATTTATATGTATTCATATATCTGGGATTCACTGTAGATAAATTTAATTGCTGTGTTTCATGTTTATTATTTAAAACATAACACGCGAAGTCGTAGTACATTTGAATTTCCGACCCGGGTTAACCTTTCCGGTCCCAGTTTGTACTGTACAAAGCTCTATGGACAAGACTAACCGGAGCAACAAGGTTGACGCGGTCAGACTTTATGCTTCATATAGGTTGAATTTACTTTTACTAAAGGGGCTGAGGTGCCTGATAACCTAAGCCTATCATTCGTCTTCCTTTTCAACAGTATTTTGGGTTCCACTGTAAAATACGTTTTTTATTAGAACTAGGAGAAATAGAGACGACTCCCCGGAAACAACCCGTTGAAATTTTATTACTGTTCATTAAACCACAGAATTAATCTAATAAAAATGGAATTCAAGGGCTGGCTGAGTCTCAAGACATACGTTTTAAAAATATTTTTTTAATCCATGCGGTCACGGTAAGGTATACAGTTTAAAAACAATTTATTAAATTGTTAACTATTTTTTAATATAGATAGTGATCAATCTCAAGAACTGACGAGGGTCAACCTAGACCGAAATATGTTTTGAATAAAATGTGGAACTAACATCTACTTTTTTCTCTAAAGAGGTTTGGTCCATCCCCATCACCGAATTTTAAATAAGAATACAGGCATAGTGCACTTCAACTACGATACATTATTAATCACAAGTTTTATTCGTAAATTCAATTGAAATATTTATTTAGTTGAAAAGAGAACAGATTATTTTAAAGTTGGGAATGTTTTTGTAACGAAGGTTTGAACCTGGACCTGCAATGCATTCATCAGGTCTGTTTGATCTTTTAGTTGTTCCTTTAACTTATTCTTCTTCATCACTCTTAGCATTCGAACCTTCTTCCTCTCCTCCTCTTCATGTTGAATAAGATCCTCCAGATCCTTCTCCTGACTCTGAACCTCCTCTTTCAACTGTTCCAGCTCCTGCTTCAGGTTCTTGTTCTCCTTCTCCTTCTCATCTCTCATCTCCTGTATAGAGTCCAGGACGGTGTTTAACTCCTCCAGACGTTTAAAATGTGAAGCTTCCTTCTGTTTGTTTACTCTGTCCAGAGCAGAGAACTCCTGGCTCCGGCTGGTTTGGTTGGTTTCAACCAAAACTCTTTGGGAGTTTTCTTTTGAGAGTTTGGTTTCCTGGATCTCTCTCCACTTCTCATCTAGATCAGTTTTCTGCATCTGTAATCTATCTGACTCCCACCTGCAACAAAATATTATTCTTTGTTTATTCTTTTTAACCGTTGACATTTTGATGGGATGTTATCAGTTTAAGTTTAAAGGGATTGTGCGCGTAAAATTAAGTGACCCTCCATTTAAAGATTGGTATAACCGATTCACAACGGTACAGCGACGCAACCATCTCCATCTGAATAACGATTTTTTCGAAAACTTAATCAAACAAAGATTTAAAGGGTTTCGTTGTAAATCTAAAATGCCACTTTCAAATGAAGAGTCAATAATTGAAATTACGTGAACGGTCCCTTTAAGTTTTAGAAATCAAAATATCTAATTCAAGATGCTTAGTGACAGCGTTGATAGACACCGATATTCCTAAATGAGAAAAAGTTTGAATCTTTTAAAAGTTTTGAATTTGAAAATATTTTCAAACACGGGATAAGCTAAACCAATGTTTTCAGCAGAACCTTACACTAGAAGGTAGATTATACTGGTTAATACAAGATCTCTGGTTTATTTTTATCAATCCTTTTCTTCTGGTGGTGCAAATAATTGATATTTCAAAATTAGATTATTTGATCTAACGGAAAGACTTAATTCCCTTGAACAAATATTGACAAAAATTGATCAACGTTGGTGCAAACAAAAAACTTAAAATTTGCAAATTCAAAATGTACAACATGTTAAAATTCAATGTGTGGACTTGTAGTTGAGAGATATCGTTTGGCATTGAAAAGAAGTCCAGCATAAAAAGCCAGGCGTATGGGAGATTACTAGAACCATAACCCCCCCCCCCCCCCCCCCAGTAGGGAAAGGGTTAAGAACTAGAAATGAGTCCGAACAATCTCCTGACCCTAACCTGAGATGAAGACTCCCACTCCTGTACTCTTTACTCTCCTGCATAGCCTGGAGTTTAGACTCCCCAAGTCTTGTGATATCCTCGTTTAATCTGGAGATCACGGAGTCCGTGATTATCACACAATCCTGTGATTATACCATTCATTGAAAACGACAAATAAACTGTTCCAGGATCAAATAAACTTGAGGATGTTCATCAAAGATTATATATTAACGAGATAAATGTACAAAGCTGGAGAGGAAAGAAATGTTTAATTTTGAATTTTTGCAGGAAACAATGCTTAGTCAGTTCTTAGCACTATCTAGGGAACAGGCCCCTATGACTGGTATATCTATGTCTGGTATATCTATGTCTGGTCCATCTCTGACTGGTTCATCTATGGCTGGTTGATCTATGGCTGGTTGATCTACGACTATTCTATGGCTGGTTTATCTATGGCTGGTTGATCTATGATTAGTCTATCTATGGCTGGTTTATCTATGACTGGTTGATCTATGACTAGTCTATCTATTGATGGTTTATCTATGGCTGGTTGATCTATGATTAGTCTATCTATGGCTGGTTTATCTATGGTTGGTTGATCTATGACTAGTCTATCTATGACTGGTTTATCTATGGCTGGTTGATCTATGACTAGTCTATCTATGGATGGTTTATCTATGGCTGGTTGATCTATGACTGGTTGATCTATGACTGGTTGGTCTATGACTAGTCTATCTATGACTGGTTGATCTATGACAAGTCTATCAATGGCTGGTTGATATATGGCTAGTTGATCTCTGACCAGTCTATCTATGACTGGTTGATCTATGACTAGTCTATCTATGGCTGGTTGATCTATGACTAGTCTATCTATGGCTGGTTTATCTATGACTAGTCTATCTATGGGTGGTTTATCTATGGATCGTTTATCTATGACTGGTTGATCTATAATTAGTCTATCTATGGCTGGTTTATCTATGACTGGTTGATCTATAATTAGTCTATCTATGGATGGTTTATCTATGAATGATTCCTTGTTAGAAGGTTCCATGCTGTCCTGACAAATCTCAATCTGACCTTGTCTCAGTAGGAGCTGAATATCTCTAAAATATATTTAAATCTGAAAGCATATATTTTCTCTGAACCTAGCTGTCTGCCTGATCCTATATTCATGATTCAACACAAATGGATGATTAAAGAAGATTAAAAAATTATTTTTAAAAAGTGGATTGTACAAGTCAAGAACTAACCTATTATTGATAAAGTCTATTTTATGTTTCTGAAAGTCTTCAATATCCTTGAGGAACTGATTTCGAACCTTCTCAACCCTGTCATAGGTTTCTCTTCTTTGCCTGCAGTTCAAATTATTCAAGAATTTCATATTCAATAACAAGCAATTAAAGTTGCGGAAGTAAAAATAAAAATGTTTGTTATAGGGAGTGTCAATGTAAAGATCTTGTATAAAATATTGATCAATCTCATGATTTAAAAAAACTTTCATTTGATTTATTTTTCTCCTTATGTTAGAGAAAATGAAAAAGCCTGACTTTAAATTGATAGATTTTAATTCTTTGGTATTATATTTGGGCAATCAATCAATCAATCAATCAATTCCTTTATTTTTCCCGAAATCTCAAATTGTCCAGGGTTGGGTGGGGAAAAGGAACTTTAAATCTATTCTAAGTAAATTAAATAATATTATGTTTATAAAAATATCAATATAATAAACTTTCCTGATTATGAGTTCGGCATCCATCATGTCCTTCTCTGAACAGAAAACAATAAGGTATAATTATTTAATCATTGAATCTGTATTAGTTCCTTTGTAATAACAACTTTCTTAATGTTTTCACCCCGAATATCTAACCTAGAACCCTGATAACCTAATCTTGAACCAAGATTATCTAGCCTAGAAACCTGTTTACCTAATCTTGAACCAAGGTTATCTAGCCTTGAACCTTGATTATATAACCTAGAACCCTGATTATCTAACCTAGAACCCTGGTTATCTAACCTAGAACCCTAATTACCTAACCTAGAACCCTAATATCTAACCTAGAACCCTGATTATCTAACCTAGAACCCTGATTATCTTACCTAGAACCCTGATTAACTAACCTAGAACCCTGATTATCTTACCTAGAACCCTGATTAACTAACCTAGAACCCTGATTATCTAACCTAGAACCCTCATTATCTAATCTAGAACCCTGATTTTCTAACATATAACCTAGATTAACCAACATAGAACCCTTATTAACTAACCTAGAACCCTGATTATCTAACCTAGAACCCTGATTACCTAACCTAGAACCCTGATTATCTAACCTAGAACCCTGATTATCTAACCTAGAACCCTGATTATCTAACCTAGAACCCTGATTATCTAACCTAGAACCCTGATTATCTAACCTAGATATGTAATTGTCTAACCTAGAACCCTCATTATCTTATCTAGAACCCAGATTATCTAGCCTAGAACCCTGATTATCTAACCTAGAACCCTAATATCTAACCTAGAACCCTGATTATCGAACCTAGAACCTTGATTAACTAATCTAGAACCTTGATTAACTAATCTAGAATCCTGATTATCTAACCTAGAACCCTGATTAACTAATCTAGAACCCTAATATCTAACCTAGAACCCTGATTATCTCCTCTAACTCTATTTTCTCCCTCCTGAGTTTGCAAAGGTTGGCCCAGGATACTTTATCAACGGTTTCAGGACAGTTAGTCTCACGATCCAGCTCCTCCAAGGATAAACCTGGAAAAACAAAACGGAATGAAAACCTGCACAATTCACAAAGATAAAAATAAAAATGATATTCCATAAAGTTTAATTACAAATCATCCTCTAAGTAATTTTATTTACAAACTCAAGCACATTTATCTTTAATGAAAAAATTACAAATATATAAAAAAATTTAATTGAAAAAATTAGATAATTTTTTTTTGAAGCATTGTTCGATTAACTGATTTTATTTAAATCACTTTTATCTAAAATGATCCAAAATTTAAAGGAATTCAGTTTTTACCACAAACTCAAATTTTCTGATGGTGCAAAACCTTTTATATTTTTCAAACTAAAGACTATTTTGTCAAACAGAAAATATAAAGTTTAAAATATTTAAGGTCTATAACGACAGAAAGCAAAGATATTGGGATTAGAAAATCAGAGTGTGTGGCAAAATCTCAATTCCTTTTTCAGGCAAACCATTTTCTGATCTTAAATATTAATGATACGCTGGTCATTGTTTGTGTTGAAGCCCGAAATATACACAAAGTTTTCACAATAATATTGGTTTTATTGATTAAATCTGTGACAGCATGCTTCTCAATAACTAATTTATACTTGCATCTTGCATCCTAGGATATCATGGAGGAATAAGAAATTAATTTATGCATATTAAAATGTTTTGGGTACTCCGATACTCCGATACTCCGATACTCCGATACTCCGATAATCCGATACTCCGATACTCCGATAACCTCTAAGTTCACAGTTTTTATATTTGAAGGAAATATTCAAACAAAACTAAAAGAGCTGTGAACTTTTGTTTTGGATACTTATAATCCCGATCGCTTTATCTCGATATTCACTGTGAGCACTTTTAATTTGAGGATCCAGAAAAAAAACTATAAATCTTCATTTTAGTTAATCCTCCCATGATCACAGTTACCTTCAACCCCTGACTAGGTAAGATTGCCATGCGGGATAATGGATAAAGATTAAATTAATCTGCAGATTAACAAAAAATCGAGCTCAAGCATTGATCTCGATATCCACAATACAAGAGTTCTCAGCTCTGATTGCTTTTCTCAAGCTAAAATTTTCTGATCCTCATAACTCTGTCATCTGATGTATTATTTCAAATCATGGATTCTTCTGGATTAAATTAGAAATTAGAAATTGAGACAAGTCTTCAGTTATTTTATTCAAACTTAATTATTGGGAATTGAATCATACTTGTTGTTAAGTTATTCATATTATTTAAAAACAAGTTAATCTAATTACTCTGTATTTCCAACACCCGACACCTAACTCTATTAGAAGTATGTCTGATCAAAATAAAAAAGTTTATCCTGCTTTTGGGATAGATCAGGTTTGATGGTTGGAAATGCAGTGCAAATGTTTAAAACACTTTTTATATCACCTAGAGCAGTGGAAGCTTTAGGTCCTTTTACGGTCAAGGTTCCCATAAACATATTACTCATTCTCGCCAGAGCTGATTCAATCGTCTTAGCTTTCAAGTTTTTCCCTCCTCTTCGCGACCCAGAGCTAAATATAAAATTTAGTATCACTTAACATTAGACTCAGAGCTAAATATAGGATTCAGTACCTACTCAACATTAGATCCAGAGCTAAATATAGGATTCAGTACCTACTCAACATTAGATCCAGAGCTAAATATAGGATGCAGTACCTACTCAACATTAGATCCAGAGCTAAATATAGGATTCAGTATCTACTCAAGATTAGACCCAGAGCTAAATATAGAATTCAGTAACTACTTAACATTAGACTCAGAGCTAAATATAGGATTCAGTATCCACTTAACATTAGACCCAGAGCTAAATATAGAATTCAGTATCTACTTAACATTAGACTCAGAGCTAAATATAGGATTCAGTACCTACTCAACATTAGATCCAGAGCTAAATATAGGATTCAGTAACTACTTAACATTAGATCCAGAGCTAAATATAGGATTCAGTATCTACTCAACATTAGATCCAGAGCTAAATATAGGATTCAGTATCTACTCAACATTAGATCCAGAGCTAAATATAGGATTCAGTATCTACTCAAAATTAGACCCAGAGCTAAATATAGGATTCAGTACCTACTCAAGATTAGACCCAGAGCTAAATATAGGATTCAGTACCTACTCAACATTAGACCCAGACCTAAATATAGGATTCAGTATCTACTCAACATAAGACCCAGAGCTAAATATAGGATTTAGTATCTACTCAACATTAGACCCAGAGCTAAATATAGGATTCAGTACCTACTCAACATTAGACCCAGAGCTAAATATAGGATTCAGTATCTACTCAACATAAGACCCAGAGAAAACACATTATAATTCAATCAGTCCTTCACTAGACTCGGAGATAAAAATTTTGTCGATCAAAACCTTAAAACCTCCTGTTTAACATTAGATCCGGAGAAAAGCATGAGTTTATACTTTTAATTCTACCACGTGCTCAGCACTAGACCCTGAGCTAAATATTAAGATTCATCTCAACACTCTTAGAACAAACTTGTAATGGGATTCATAATGTTAGATATTTGACACAAATATTGCGCCTTACATTTTAAATTTAGTTTAGTTTAGGTTTACGCGGAAGAAACTGGATAATGGCTGGGATTGATTAAATATTTGATTTCTTTTTCAATATATTTAAGATCGACATTCGACATTGCTAATATTGGATTTGACAATTAAATACGGCTAGAAAACCAACCAAAAATACTTCTAATATGTCAGGGGTTTAGCCAACACAACAACATTTCATTTTGTAAACATTTGCGGCCTACCCACTCATACACAATCGGTTGATTAGAGGGACTGTCGTAACTTTAAGTGGTCTCAAATTAAAGAGCGCCATGCCTTATTCATGAATGTACCCTTTTATCTGATCCATAATGTGGAAGATATCGTTGTTTGTTTAGCTTCAAAAGTGTTTAAAAATATGCAATTAACTTTTCTAGAGAACCCACTATGGAAGAATATCAAATGTTCAAAGAGAAATCATGGATATCTCAGTAATTCTTGATCTGACCAAGCTTTATTGGGTAATGTAATGAATCCGACATGCCAATCTATGAAAAGAGGTTCACTCGAAATTAAGTTTACAGTCCCTTAAACCCTGCAGTAAGGGTTCCATAATATGTCTTCTTGTTGAATTACCTTAGAGAAGATTTTGATTCTCGTCTTGAATCCTGATTCTTTGCTCCCCAAATATCCGCAGTTTTCTCAAGATGATTTATAGCCTACAGATTAGAGAATAGGATAGAATAGGAGATACAATCACCAAACCTTTCCTGGATTTAGTTAGGATAAATGACAAAATTAAACTATATATATTTGTCACCATTTACGTCTATGTGTATTGTGTTGTGTAAACATAAACAATACTTGGATACAATGTCGATACATTGTTACAATTCAGAATATGTACAATATACAATACATTGGTATACAATTCTATCTTTGTCTGTATGTGGTTTAAAGTTTTTTTGGGTCTCTAGTTCTTATACCTTGGGTCTCTAGTTCTTATACCCTGGGTCTCTAGTTCTTATACCTTGGGTCTCTAGTTTTTATACCTTGGGTTTCTAGTTCTCATACCGTGGGTCTCTAGTTCTTATACCGTGGGTCTCTAGTTCTTATACCATGGGTCTCTAGTTCTTATACCTTGGGTTTCTAGTTCTTATACCGTATGTCTCTAGTTCTTATACCGGGGTCTCTAGCTCTTATACTTTGGGTCTCTAGTTCTTATACCGTGGGTCTCTAGTTCTTATACCTTGGGTTTCTAGTTCTTATACCGTAGGTCTCTAGTTCTTATACATGGGTCTCTAGTTCTTATACCTTGGGTCTCTAGTTCTTATACCGTGGGTCTCTAGTTCTTATACCGTGGGTTTCTAGTTCTTATACCTTGGGTTTCTAGTTCTTATACCGTAGGTCTCTAGTTCTTATACCTTGGGTCTCTAGTTCTGATACCGTGGGTCTCTAGTTCTTATACCGTGGGTCTCTAGTTCTTATACCTTGGGTCTCCAGTTCTTATACCGTGGGTCTCTAGTTCTTATACCTTGGGTCTCTTCTTGAATAGTTTATATAATGAGTCGAGCTGATGAAAACCTAGACCCGGAAACTCTTTTCTGAAGTTTCTATCCAAGAGTTTATCTTTCTCCTGTAGATCCTTGTACTCCTGCTCCATCCTTGCTATATCATCTACTCCTTTAGCAACATTCTCCTAGTATAGTACTTTGTTAGATTAGCAGATGTGATTATAATTTTTCTAAAAAATATGGAAATGTTGAAAATACCAAGAAAACAAATTCAGCGCTTAAAATGTGTGGTATACAACCTAAGTTTGATTTTAAAATGTAATGTAAAGATTTATATTTTTTTGAGGAAATATCTCTTGCTAGCACATATCTTCTTAGTTTCTACCTTGGCCTCAAGGAAGATAATCTCATTTTCCTCAAACTTGTTCTTGAGAACCTCCTGCTCCCGTCCTAGCTTGTCTCTCATACTGAGTGCTCGGTTCAGGTTCAGGATCTTCAATTCCTCACAGAGGATACATTTCTCGATATTTATCCTGATATGTTCCAGACGTAAATCTTTAAGGATACATTTCTCGACATTTATTCTGATATGTTACAAAAGTAAATCTTTAAGGATACATTTCTCGATATTTATCCTGATTTGTTTCAGACGTAAATCTTTAAGGATACATTTCTCGATATTTATCCTGATATGTTCCAGACGTAAATCTTTAAGGATACATTTCTCGATATTTATCCTGATATGTTCCAGACGTAAATCTTTAATATTTGTGGGAAAACTGAAAAGAGGCTGTAAAAGTAATTATAAATGCCCCTACATACTTTTTAAAAAAGCATGTCCGATTTACAATGAAACTTTGATTATTTTCAATTTTGGGTTTAGCGTGCTGCAAAGACAATGAAAGAAACTATCAGAATTCAACAAAGATAGAAACGATGATATCTTACTCATTGTTACTCAGATAGATATGGGTACCGTTGTTAATCGGATAGTATAATATTTTTAATTAGGAGGTGTTAGATACTAAACATTATACCAATCTGAAGAAATATGTTTTTATGCATTATTATTTAGCAGGACTTATTCTTGTTTTTATTTGAATTCATGTTTGAAATTCAGAGTTTTAAAAACTCATTGGTTTAAACCAAAAATATATAGAATAAGCAGCAGGTAAAACATAAATTACTTGTCACAAATTCTTTTCTAATCTTATGTTTTTTCAACTTGTAGATCAGTTATATTAAAAACTATGAATACTGGTAGATCAAAAAGTTAAAGTTCGAAACATTATTAGAGGTTGTGGCGAGTAATCAATTCTTTAGTTTAACAAACAAGCATGATTTTAAACTAAAATAAAAATTATTTTTACTGACCTCAACCAGAACAGTTTCTCAATCTTGGTGTCTATTTTGTCTGCCAGTTCAGAGATAGAGTTCTGGAGCAATCCTTTCTCTCCTTCAAGTTCTCTTCTCCGGAGTAGAAACTTTGCTCCCATTCTTACAAAATAATTTTTCAGTATTTTTACTAATTCAATTTATAAATTAAAAACGTTGAGCCTTATTTTTTCTTTTAATATTAACATATGTATTACATACACTTTCTAAAAAATAGAGCAAACCTTATCAAAAAGAAAAATGGAGCCTGAAACTTTTGAATAGAAGGAATGTGTTAAACTCGTGCCCAAGTTTAAAAGTCAATTTGACATTTGAGCATTTTTACTGTGAAATATAAATCTTTAAAGCAAGCGTAGAGAGATAGATTTCGATCTATTTCCGAAGACTGTTTATAATGATCTTTTCAATCAATATTAAAGCTTGATGTTCAACAGCAGATCATAAACCTGTTTAAGAACAGTAGGAAATGTTGCTATGGTGGAAAATTTAACGACATGTGTCACATTTTCACCTCCTAGTTATCTAACCTTACCTATTACAATTAATCTAACCTAACCTGTATATTTTTAAAAGATGGGATTAAGCCGCTAGTGATCTAACTAAACCTGTTAATTCTGGAAGATGCGATTCAGCCGCTAGTGATCTAACTAAACCTGTTTATTTCTGAAAGATGGGATTCAGCCGCTAGTGATCAAACTAAACCTGTTTATTTCTGGAAGATGGGATTCAGCTGATGTTAGTCTAACTAAACCTGTTTATTTCTGGAAGATGGGATTCAGCTGCTAGTGATCTAACTAAACCTCTTTATTTCTGGAAGATGGGATTCAGCCGCTAGTGATCTAACTAAACCTCTTTATCTCTGGAAGATGGGATTCAGCCGCTAGTGATCTAACTAAACCTCTTTATCTCTGGAAGATGGGATTCAGCCGCTAGTGATCTAACTAAACCTGTTTATTTCAGGAAGATGGGATTCAGCCGCTAGTGATCAAACTAAACCTGTTTATTTCTGGAAGATGGGATTCAGCTGCTAGTGATCAAACTAAACCTGTTTATTTCTGGAAGATGGGATTCAGCTGATGTTGATCTAACTAAACCTGTGTATTTCAGCAAGATGGGATTCAGCTGCAGCGACCTCTTCATCTGTAAACTCAGCTGGGAGTTTATTCTTCATAAAGAGAGGTTGAGGTAGAACGGATCCTTCTTCTCCGATACTATCCAGAAATGTCAGAGCTTGCTTCTTTTTTAGAAAATCTTTTCCTAAAAAAGGCAAATAAACTTTTAGACGTTTGCAATCTTACGATTTAAGTTCGAGAAAAGTTGGACAAGAAGAATTAATGATATTATGCGAATGAAAACGTTCTTCTAAAGTTTCAAACCTGTGGAGCTGTTCCGTCCGCTCTCCTGGTCCTCATTATCCTGCTCTCCGTCCTCCTGGGGTAATCTTGTCTCAGGTTGTTCTCCCTCATCCCAACCTTGGTCTAGTATCTCCTCATCAACTCTAAATAAAATTTATGAAGGAATTTGCCACAAACTCTGATTTTCTAGTCCCTGTATCTTTGGAACCCAATGTTGTAGACCTTTGATATTTCAAGCTAGGAATTCTGTTAGATCAAATTATCTAAGTTGAAATATCAAAGGTTTACACCATCAGGTCGCAAAGATATAGGGATTATCGATTCACAACGGTACCCTTAAAATCTTCATTTGTGGTCTCTGAACAAAAGTGACTTCCGCATTTCTTGCTTCAGAAACAATGGAGGTCAGAATTAAACTTTTTTCCAGCTGAAAAACGGCTTTATTTTCCATATTATTGATCGGATTGAAGATTTAAAAGTACTGAGATGAAACGGGGTATATGCCCCTTTATAAAGAGTCTCTTAAAATGGCAACGAAAGTTCCTTTAGATTCTCTTGCTTTTCATTTCACCCAGGTATATCAAATCCAATCATAAATATAAAATAGTTTAATAAAACTGTTTAATTTCGAATTTGTAATGGAAGTTTTTAAAACTAATGTATCGAGACAACATACCTGCAGAGATTTATCAGTTCCAAATTAAAAAGTAACAACAAAGACGACTATCACTGTACCTGAGTTCTGAGAGTAGAGCTCTAAGACGCTGGTTGAGCTGGTTCATCTGTTCTAAGGTTTCTTCTTTTTCTTCAAATAATTCATCAAATTTCTCATTAAAGAATTTTTTCAGCTTCCTAACAACATCCTAAATGATCACTAAATGTATTATTTATATCTATTATCATAATATTTTTATCAAAATGTATATTCTGACCTGACAGTCTGTATTTTTTATAAGTTTGTTTGAGATTTCTCAATACCTGTTTTAACTTTATGTATATTTACAATATAATATACAGTTTGAAAGCAGTTGCCTGCTTTCTCTCAAGCAGAAAAGACCTACTATGTAGTCCCAGAATTACAGCTGGAAAAGCGCCGAGTTTAGTTATGCATCTTGTATCCTACAGGGGAAGCTGGAAGCATAGATTAAAACAAAACTTCATCTTCAGCTTGGTGCACTGAAAGAGGAGTTTAACCCCTCGTGGGAATACAAGCCATGCACAACGATACCGGTTTTTTACTTGACCAGATGTGAGGACTGGACTGCCATGGAAGATACCTCTCAAGAGAGCTTTCAGGGATCACAACTCCCTATTTTGCATAAGGGGTGCAGTTATGGGTAAATTCCTTAATTCCCCTAACTTCTTCCTACAAACCTCCTTATCTCTCTCCTACCTGCTCCACAACTCAATGTTAAAAGAACTATTTGGAAAGGCCTTAAAGTGTAAAAAACAAGAAACAAGAAGCAAGAAGAAAAAATAAGTTGAACAGAAAAAAGTGGAAGGGAAATCTCTTGACAGTAGAGATGGGTGTTTTATTGAAAGTGTGTTATAGCTAGGAATGCAAGAGCTGACTCAGTAACATGACTGAAGCAAAATTTAAAAACAAGGGAGAGAGTAACCTTGCCACTCTCAAAATATAGAATACAGGGCTCCAAAAAATAGTTCTGCCTCTGCAATTTGGCTAGCTGCAGAAAACGTCCAAAAAAATCATTTATTTTTATTTTCAAAATTAGCCAAAGTATGATTGAAGGATGGACGAGGAATGGGCGATCAAGAAGAAAGAATGAAAAACAAGAAATATAGAAGTCTCAAAATGTTTCCATCCGATATCATATTGAAATTTAAAAATATTGTAAAATTCAATTAAAATAAATTATTAAAGTTAAAAAATACAGTTTGAAAGAATATCCCAATACAAACAGGAAAATCAGCGTAAATTTAAATTTTATCATCAAATAGTCTCAGTTAAAAATATCAATGGTCCAACAGGTTACAAACTTGCAAGAAAATAAGCTATTAGATTGTGGCGATGATTTAGTTTATTAACGAAAAAAAAAATTAAAATGTATTTACCTGAAGTAGAATAATCTGTTGATGAGTTTGTTTCTGCGTTGTAATCTCTATTTGTGGAATAAGAAGAGCAGTGTCAATGTTTATATAAAGATAACTCCTGCTCCCCAATAGTTCGTATTTATTAAATCCTTCAGTTTCATCCTTTCCAATAATCTCCAGGCTTGTTTTTAATCCTCGAGGAGATCCTACTTTCCTAAGGAAAATTGTACAAGAATTACAAGAATAATCCATTTATGTACAGAGGGTCTCCCAATAAAGGGTGACCTGGGTTTAAGAGACTAAAATTAGGTTTAACTGTGTCCGAATTTGATGAATTTAAGCCGCGTCTCAAATCCCCCAAAAACCGGTTTCAATTGAGCGCTGGCTTAAATCTTGAAAAATTTAATACAATTTTCAGTGAAACCAACAATATTTGAGCCGCGGCTTAAATTCTTTAAATTTGGACTCTGGATACAATTGTTGATGTTACAAAATGGTCAAATTATTTTTATTTTTTTCACTTATGTATCTTTCTGTATAACATCTTAGTGTACAATTATAATAATAGCATCCTAATAATCCTTATAATGGATTTCTAAATATGTCTATGCTCGGGAACTCTTTATGTTCTTTACCTAGGGTAAGGAGATGTTCCTCTATCACTACCAGGACTAGGAGAGTGTTGGACTTGTAGTATGATCAGGTCGTGTACTTTACCTTGGGTAAGGAGATGTTCCTCCAGGAATACCAGGACTATGAGAGGGTTGGACTGTAATATCAACAGGTCGTGTACTTTACCTTGGGAAAGGAGATGTTCCTCTAGGACTAACAGGACTAGGAGAGGTATGGACTGGAGTATGACCAGGTTGTGTACTTTACCTTGGGTAAGGAGATGTTCCTCTAGGACTACCAGGACTAGGAGAGGGTTGGACTGGAGTATGATCAGGTCGTGTACTTTACCTTGGGTAAGGAGATGTCCCTCTAGGACTGCCAGGACTAGGAGAGGGTTGGAGTGGAGTATGATCAGGTCGTGTAGAAGGATTACTAGACACAGAACAGTCAACAATTATTCAAACTAATTCATTAAAATGATATATTCTGAAAATATTCGGTTTAGAGATCAGAAATTGAAATTTGAAATGCATTGAATAAGTAGATAATCGAAAAATATGAATAAACCAGTAAAAAAGAAGATTAATAAATGAATGAATTCATAAATTCATGGGTTAATAAATGAATTAATGAATGAATTAAAGAATAAATAAATAAATCTAACATTGACGAATTAAAATTCGGATTTTTTGAATACTACATATATGATGAATAATTATAATTTATGCGTTAAATATATAATATTAATAATAATAATGTAAGAAAGGGTTTATGAATAGATAAAAATTTGGATGAATAAATAGATAAAAAGATAAATATAAGGATGAAAGAATAATGAATAGGTGAATGAAAGGATGAATGAGTGAATGAATGAATGACTAAATTAATGAAAAATGAATAGGTGAATCAATAAATGAATAAACGAATAATGAATAAATGAATGATTGAATGAGTAAATAAACGAATAATTGATAAATGAATCAATAAATGAATAAAAGAATAATGAATAAATGAATGAATCAATTGAATATATGTTCCTGCGTATATCCTGAGTTTCCTTCCCTATAGATATCTCCAGCTGCCGTTCCTAGGATCGTAAAATTTTATTTCCACATTATATATAATATATATATATATAAACATTATATTTTTCATTTATTTTATTTTTATTCTTTCACTATTTACAATATCATTGACATTTTTTATCTTATCTTACATTTTGTCTGTGTATGTAAACGTTTGTTTTCTATCAAAGCGAATAAATAATGTTTTTTTCTTCTTTTTTTCTGAATGTTGAAACTAGTATTTTTGCCAAAAAAAGAAATATAGTCGAAATATTTGTTTAAATTAACGATCTACAAAAACTCCTTAGGAAACCTGGAAATTGCCTCAAACTCTAATTTTCTAATCCTTATATTTGTGGAATCTGATGTTATCGTAGACCTTTGATATTTCAAACAATAAATTTAGCAAGATAAAATATACAAAGCTTGAAATATCAAAAGTTTAAACCATCAGGTTGTTAATATATAGGGATTAAAAACACATTTCTTTTATGGAACAGATAAAAAGTCAAGAGTATTTTCAGAAATATTTTAGTATAAACTAGCTTAGATAAATGTTACGATGCAAGGATAAATTGATGCATTTTGGGTCAAATATTATAGAAAGATTATATCTTTAGATTTTCTTACTCTAATTGTGTTCTCCAACATGATTTCTTGCTCCGGGCTCGGTTTAGGTAGAGGAAAATTTGGAACTTTTCTCCGACTGTTGACACCCTTGAGATACTTGCCCGGAGTCTCTAGGTTACTCCAAACCTGTCTTTTTACTCTAAGTGCACACTCAGCCCTGGCCAGGTTCCAAGCCTTCAGTTCCATCATGAGATCTGACACCTTCTCCTTACCTTCTTCTACTCTTCTATTCTGCTCCTCTATATCCAACTCAAACTCTCTTCGATCCAACCTTAAACATTGATTTATTTTAAATATTCAACATAAGTCAAATCCTAAAAGTTATAAACATAAATCCAGATTGAACAATTGAAGAAAGGAATTGAGTCCTTGCCACAATCTAGAATTCGTCTATCGTTATAACTTTGCAACCAAATGTCGTAGACCTTAGATATTTCAAACTGTGAATATTGGTAGATCAAATAATTTGAGTTTGAAATATCATAGTTTTACACTTTCCAGTTGCAGAGATGTTGGGTTTTGAAAATCTGAGTTTGTGACAAAAACTTAATTCAAGACTGGGTCAACTTTAAACTATCAATACGCCTGGGTCTTTAATTTTAGATCATTAACACACTTTTACTTTTTGTAGCTGTAAACATGTTCATGTTTTTTTGTATTAATCTATAAAGGGAGTGTTCGCGAAAAATTAAAGGAGGTATAGGCTGATATCGAATCGAATCGATCAATATACTAATTTTACTATTATCTCTTGCTAATATAAGGAGAAAATGGTTAAAACGTCTTAAACCTAAGAGCTTAGCGTCCATACAAATTTACAGAATTGCATTATTCAACAGATCGTAAATAATTCAATTAAATTTATAATTAATCATTAATATATTATAACCTAGAAGTTTCGAATGCTATTCGATGCATTCATAAATATTTGAAATTTTTATGATATTTAATATTTATTTTTTAAAGAATGCACATAAAACGACGATTTTTTGTCCGCTAGGTGTCTGGAACCACAGAAATATCGAGAGCAGAGACACCTGGCGGCCAACTAATCGTCGTTCAAATTACATCATATAGATAACAAATGTTAAATATTATGAAATATCAACTATTTACGAATGAATCGAATTGCATTTGACACATAAAGGTTATAATATCTTAATGACTAATTTTAGATTTAAATGAATTATTAAGATCTGAGTTGAGAAATGCAACTCAGTGAATTTGTATGGACGTAAGATATAAGACTTTTTAACCATTTTCTCACAGATTTTTTTAACAGATAATAGTAAAATTAGTATTGATCGATATCGAATTCGATTCGATATAAGTCTGAACCCCCTTTCATTTTTCGCGAACACTCCCTTTAAGAAATTATTGGCAAAATTCTTATAAATTTTTGCGTGTATAATTAAGAATATGTTCCTTCCCAGATCCTACCTATCCCTCTCAGGTAGTTTCTGATTATCCTCGGCTAAGTGGTTTTCCCCTCAATTTAATTATCCTCCCTTAATCTCCCGGTTAAGTAGTAATTAATAGTTATATTTTTTAAAGAATACTCATAAAACGACGATTGTTTGTCCGCTAGGTGTCTGGAACCACAGAAATATCGAGAACAGAGACACCTGGCGGCCAACTAATCGTCGTTCAAATTGCATCATATAGATAACAAATGTTAAATATTATGAAATATCAACTATTTACGAATGAATCGAATTGTATTTGACAAATATAGGTTATAATATCTTAATAATTTTAGATTTAATTGAATTATTAAGATCTGAGTTGAGAAATGCAACTCTGTGAATTTGTATGGACGTAAGATATAAGACGTTTGTAACCATTTTCTCATTATAGACGCAACAGATAATAGTAAAATTAGTATTGATCGATATCGAATTCGATTCGATATTAGTCTAAACCCCCTTTCATTTTTCGCGAATTATTGGCAAAATTCTTATAAATTTTTGCGTATATAATTAAGAATATGTTCCTTCCCAGATCCTACCTATCCCTCTCAGGTAGTTTCTGATTAGCTGTGATAAGCTGAGAGACTTGTTGAACCATCCTGGACACTGTAGAACTTATATCAGTGATCTCAGTTTCATATTTCCTTCTCTCAACCTGGTTCTGAGTCCCAACCTTCCTCTCCCTGTAAATATCATGGTTAGAGAACTCCTTGGTGTGAATTTGTTAGGGTTACATAGTATTCCATGTCAAGCTTGCTATTTGTTTTATAAAAGAAAAAGCTCAGTGCAATCAAACCCACCTTTGACTCTGCCCGATAGGTTTAGCGGATATCTGTATCTCCGGAGAACTAAACCCGTCCTGGTTTCGTCGGACCGGGGGTGCTCCAGTAGACTCTAAAGGTATGGGTTCCTTCCTCATGATGTAAACCAAGGTTCCAGATTTACTAAATTAATCAGAGCTGAAAACTTTGGAATGGTGGATATCGAGATCAATGCATGATCTCCCCTTTTTCTTAATCTCCAGATTAAATAGGGATTGTTTTCCGCTTGTTCATAATCTCCAGATTAAGTAACCGATCGGGAACATTAAATCAGGTTTTTTAGCTTTGAAACAATGGATGCTACAGTTATTTTAGCATAAAATTTGTAGAACTTGATTTTTATGGCATAAGTTCAAGTCCAAGAAAACAGTTTTTGAAACATCTTTTATATTATAAAAAAAATCAATATAATCGGACGTCCAATATAATAAAGAGCGAAAAATTAGACAAAAAGTCAAGTTTTCTTCCATCTTATACTGGAAGAATGGACGAGCAGATTAAGGTTGAATAAATGAATAAATGAAGAACACCTCACAGAGACAATATTCCCAAGTATATCAATATCTGCGGTATTAGCTCCTCCTGCTCTGTAGTGCTGAACATGTAAACTCTCAGACCCGGAGAAACCAGATTTATGAACAGTTACCACTCCGTCGGATCCTTAACAGGGCTCAACATTTAATTATTTGAAATCTGTTTTATACATTCTACACTTTTCCTATCTCTTCTTTCTTCATTATAATATAATAGAAATAAAAATACTTGATAACTTTCCTAATTTTACAATTTTTTAGAGAAACGTTTTTGAATTGTGTATAAAACTTTCCTGAGATAAGGCCAATATTTGACCAGCTTTCCCTGGAAACTGAACTATCTCTAAAAAAGTCAACTCGTTAAACTTGGTTTTTAAAACCAACTCAAAACCTTCCCGCGGGGTTCTTACGAGTTCCCCAATCAAAATTATGATTGAATATCCAAAAATACAGACAGACAAACAGAGATTACTACTTTATACATACATATGATAATAAAAATACTAATAGTATCTATAGTTGTATAATATCTGTGTGTCTGTCCGATCATAATTCAGGAACCACTGGACAGATTTGCCTTACATTTTTATTGGGGAACTTAGGAGGGCCACGGGAATGCATGGTTTAAAGATTCTAAGTGGAGTTGGTAGACTTTAATTACGAAAATTTAGATTCCCGGCTGCTAAACGGCGGAAGTAACTTTGATTAAACTGGGCAACGCTGAGTTCCCAAACTAATTGATAATAAACTATAAGGTTGAGTATCCCTGCAAGAATGAATCCGTCTAAGAGAGTAGAATTTATAGAATAAACTGGTAAACCGTGTCCACTCCGAACTATATAAACAATCTCAAATATATATTTTTTGAAAGATATTTCCAAATAACTATTTAACCGTTGCAAAATACCTATATCACCCCAAACTAAGCTTTCGGTGAGTACTGTGTGATCTGCAGCACATTGATCGAAGAAATAGATGGTTTTAGCGGAAAGTGATAAATCTATGTGTTGGTAATTAAAAACTGTTAAATAAGAAGTTTACTAATATCTACAACATGTTTTGCAGTTGATTAAATATATGCGTAATTTAAGATTAAGTTTTCTAAAGTTTTTATAAAAAAGTGGACAGAGAAACTAAACAGTCCCCACAATTCTATTTTCTAGTCAACATATCTTTAAAACCTGTTGTTTAGACCTTCAATATTACAAACTATAAAAACTATTAGATTAAATATTAAAAATGTTAAAGGAATTGCGGCGTTGCTACAAACTCAATTTTTTATAACCTCTCTATCACTGATTTAAATTTTAGGTTTTTTAATCTAAAAGAATTCCTAGTTTTACGTAATTGAAATATAATATTCAGAAATGTGGCAACGACTCATTTTCTTTCAATTGTGTACACCGTCAGGTTGCAAGGATTATAAGATTTTAATTTGAGGCAAATGTTTAGGTTGCTGTAGTTGCATTGGATGATAAAGGTTTGTTTATATTCTCCTGCAGATATTGGAAGCAGTTTCTCTACTATATCATCTCCACCAGAACGATCTAAACCATCTTCTCCTTGGAGACGAAACTTTCCAATCTCTTTACTGTGCTGAAACATTATACATTGGTTACCAATCCCTGAGCTAAGGAAACTGTACATACTAACGAATAGTTGAGAAAACTAGAGTTATCTCTCTGAAAAGTGCTTTCATTTAATTATTTGTGGTCAGAAAGCTATGGAACATTTTTTAATGATTATTATGCCAACAGTGTCAATCGTATCAAAATTCTGTAATCAAAACTCTTTTTTTATGTCTAAATGACATTACAAAGTTTAAATGAAATTCGATGCGCTCCAATGTACGGGAAATGTCGTCTCCTAAGCATTGATAGATAAAATCCGTAAATGACGTCACTGATCCCTACTCTTGCCTCTATAATAAGTGACGTCATATACAAATTTTATCAATCTATGCTTAGAAGACGACATTTCTCGTACATTGAAGCGCATCGAGAGTAAGCAACCTTACTAAACAACCTTCTAAAGTAAACACAAAACTAGCTTACTAGCTAAGGTTTACCCGCATCATTGAGTAGAAGAAGGTTGAGTTGTGTGCAAGAACAATCCCGGAGCACTCTACACTAAGACTGATAACCCTGAGAACATCTAGACTGGTCTTTGTAATACTGAGATGGTTTACAAGATCTCCATATCCAGATCCATTCTCTGCAGGACAGGAGAGAGTTACAACCTTCTTACCCTGAAAAAGAATATCCCTAAGACTCTGACTGATAAGTAAACAAGTATTTAAGCTAAGAACCTGGATACATGTATCTAAACCAAGTACCTGGGTACAAGTATCTTTACCTAGTATGTGGATACAGGTATCTAAACCAAAAAACATGGATACAAATATCTAAAGCTAGAACCTGGATACAAGTATCTAAAGCTAGTACTTGGATACTAGTATCTAAACATAGTACCTGGATACTAGTATCTAAACCTAGTACCTGGATACTAGTATCTAAACCTAGTACCTGGATACAAGTATTTAAACATAGTATGCGGATACAGGTATCTAAACCTAGTAACTGGATATAGGTATCTAAACCTAGTACCTAGATACAAGTTTCTAAACCTAATACCTAGATACAAGTATCTAAACCTAGTCCCTAGATACAAGTATCTAAACCTAGTACCTAGATACAAGTATCTAAACCTAATACCTGGATACAAGTATCTAAACCTAGTACCTGGAAACATGTATCTTAACCTATTATGCGGATACAGGTATCTAAACCTATTATGCGGATACAGGTATCTAAACCTTGTACCTGTATACAAGTATCTAAAGTTAGTACCTGGATACAAGTATCTAAACCTGTTACGTGGACACTAGTATTTAAACCTACTACCTGGATACAAGTATCTAAAGCTAGTACCTGGATACAAGTATTTAAAGCTAGTACCTGGATAGAAAAATCTAAAATGTTTCCCTCCACCATACTCTGATCGATGTAACTGTTAAAAGCAAAAATAAAAAATATGTGAACAATATCTAAACCTGCAACAACTAAAGTTTAGGTTTAATAATTCTCATCTCCGCTATTCATTGATATCCGGAGTTTTTTGTCTTAAATTTTTAGACTTAGCTGGCTATCATCCCAGTTAGGGCTGAATCTTAGCTGATGACCTTATTTCAGAGGTTTAAAAGCTGTCATTGGTAGATTTTAGACTTACAGGGAGTGACCGACAATATATTGTTATAGTTTAATTGGGAATGCAGTATTGCGGAGAATTCTTTTAGGAATCATTTGAGACCTATGAGAAGTTTTTACGGTGCACATTTGTTCAGCAAGAGCGCAATTTCAATCTTTAAAATCCTCATAGATTGTCCATTTTTCATGGATGATTGTCAGAATTATAAGGAAATAAAAATTAACTCTTTTTATCGAAAATAAGTAATCTTATTCAGTTATTGGTTTTTGTAATGTCTCATTGTTCTCAACCATTTTCTGTTGATTTCCTGGACATTTTTTTGAAAAGACGACGTTTGAAGAATTTGAAGAAATCTGCGAACAAATTCATAAAGAATAAGAAATTCAATATTACGATGAAAAAGAAAAAAATGATTTTTTATGAGAAAATTTCTAATGAGAAATATATGTTTCTAAACTTCTGATTTGTTTACTGCAGAATTTTTTTTACATTTTTAGTCGTCGTTATTTATTAATTTATCGATTCTCAAAACGTAACCACCCAAATGGATGATTATTGAACGTCGACTTTGAGCTCAAACTCAGTAATTATTTATCATTAAAACGTTTTATGTGTTTCAAATAAATATTTAACAAATTTTCCACAATACTACATTTTTAGTTCAACTACCATACAATGCCGGTTACTCCCTTTCAGGATTCCCTGATTTAAGACATTTTTAATGTTTGTCGACTGGATATCAAGTTCACCAGTTGAACTTCTGAACTTATTAGGATATCCAGGTTCAGTTTACATTGTATCGGCATCTCTTTTGTTCTTCAGGGCCAATACGGAGAAAATACAACATTAATTGTGTTATTTGTTTAAATGGAGTTTAAAATAAAAAACCAGTCTTAGGAAGTATCCACTTGATTAAAACCAAATAGATTCTAATACAATAGATGGCAACGTAGAATTTGTACACTCTCAGTACAGTTGTATTCTGTCGTCACAAGTGTCAATTCAGTTTTTGTATCCGACAAAATTATCAATAATAGTGATAATTTTAGAATAAAGTGCTTTTCTTACAGTAAAATAAGTGCACTTTTATGTGTTCTTTATTTTCTGTTTTTACACTTTTTTATTTAATTCTGGAAAACATGTCAAATAATGTGAGAAAATTTCGTCTTCCTTGTTATATTTGACGCTTGTGACGTTGTGTATAATTGGTTAATTTCTCTGTTGCCACCTATTGTACTTGTTAATCTATTTGATTAAAACTGATTTTAGTGAAAAACTAAACAATTTATTTTGAGGTTAAACTTTGCTCCCTGAGATTTGAATTCTTGAGTTCTGCTACAGCAATAATTCCTTGAACAGAACTCACAAACCCAGCAACCTTAATTATTTTAGAATTAATCTTGCGTTTAAATCCTTTTTAGTTAGCTGTCTTTTTCGTCCGTTTTTTTAAATCTTGTCATTCCTTTTCCTCCTTTTTCTTTGTCCTTCTTATTCATCTTATTCTTTATGTTCTTTGTAATCTTGTTCATCATGTTCCTCCTTTCCCGTTTATTCTTCTTGTTCATTTTTTTCTTGCTGTTCTATTAAATCTTGACCTTCCCGTACCTCATTTTCCTTTTTTCCTTTCTTGTTCCTCTTATTCTTAATGTCCTTTTAAATCTTGTCCATTCTTTACTTCTTGTCCTTATTGGTCTTCTTTCCGTCTTGCTTTTAGTCTTAAAATCTTATGTCGTCCCCCCCTTCGTTGTCCTCACTGGGCTTGCCTTTGCTCTTGTTTTTCATTCATTTACAATTTCTTTACAATTTTTTACGAAGTGTTCTTAATTTCAGACAATGTGTATGTCATGTATTAAAGCTCTTTATTATTTTGCGTAGAAAACTACTATTCTATGCTTGATTTGACAAATCTTAAATGAAGTTCACCGAATTGGACGATATTTGTTTTATGAAATCAATTTCCAACAAACATTTTTAAAGATTTATTTGTATATTCAGAAAACTCTTCCGGAAACTGTTATTAACTAACCTTAGCTTTAGAATCCACTTTAATCCTGGATATTGGAGAACTATGCACATACATCTCCTCTTTAACAAATCAGAAATATTTTGATTTGAAAAAAACTAATAAATTTTTTCACAAAGGGAAATGATTTCTTTGTCACAAACTAAAAATGCTTACTTCCTATGCTTTTACAACCTGATGGCGTAGACGTTTGATGTTTGAAACTTAGACAACTTGATATATCAACATTCATAGCTTGAAATATCTTAGGTTGACAACATTTGGTTGCGAAAAATTTGTGGCAATTTTAGGATTATATTTTAAATGTTGAAAACCTGTAAATCTAGCGGAAACTACTGGTTCATTATCATCCATGGACTCAGGAGCATCTAAATTTGATAAACTTGACAATTATCTAAATTTTACTTTTTATTCAGAAATCAAATGCTTTTCTCAAGTATAACAGTCAATATTTTTTTAATCCAAAAATGCAGAAATTCTCGATACTTTTTTAGGAATAAATTAATTAATTGATCCAAATTGATCCAACTTATGTTTACCTAGAAGCAAGGATAACACTCTTCCGTCCTGTGTGCTTATTAGGATAGATTGTCGGAGCGGAACAGAAGCCATAGAAACCAACCCAACCGGTAGTATCAAGCTCCACAGTATTTTCTACAGTTTAGTCAATGTGATCAAATTAATATTTAATCTTTTCTAACCTTGTCTTACCTTAGATTTAGTGTCATGAACCCGTACTGTGCTGTTTCTGCAGATCGAGACAAAAATCTTAATAAATATACAATATAAATTTATGTGCACTAATACTGGATAAAAACTGGATAAAAAAAGTTTTTGGTCGAAATTGGGCACCAAATTTTTTAAAAGATACCATGATTGAGAGAGTTTATCTTAAATTATCCAGGGTTTAAGAATTAACTGAAAGATGTTTGGATCTCCAGGATTTTTGAATAAACTAAAAGAGGGGATGATCACCAGGGTTTCAGGATAAACTAAAACCTGTTTGGATCTCCAGGATTCAAGAATTAACTGAAATCGGGGATGATCTCCAGAGCTTAAGAATAAATATAGAACTGTTTGGATCTCCAAGATTTAAAAAAAAACTGAAACCTGTTTGGATCTCCATGGAAAGCAGGCATCCACGTACTCCCTCCAAGGTTCATTCTGGATGAGTTCCCTAATCTAAAATAATATTTATTCAGAGTTATGTGTGAACCTTAACATCATATTCAGAGTTATGTGTGAACCTTAACATCATATTCAGAGTTATGTGTGAACCTTAACATCATATTTTCCTCTTTGTCTGAATAATGAATATAAAGGTTATCAACTTAATTCCCCAATCAGTCTCGGTGGCTTACATCTAGGTTTAGTTTCAAAGGTTTTGTATCTAAGCCTAACTCTTACTGAAAATTGTGTCCTCGGGGTGAAACTTGTCTGTCAATCTTTGTGGGACGTGACATGAATAGGTTTACTTACATCAATGGATAACTCCGTAGTAGGAATACATACAAGGTTGCCTCTCTCACTCCAACCTAGAACCAGGAGTAAACTTTAATATTAGATTCTTAAAATCCGTTATCTAAGATTTTTGACAATGCAATACCATATTCTTGTCATATCAGATAAAAAAATTTCAATTTTGATAAAAAAAAATTGTAACCAGTATGAGCTCAATAGCTCTGAACAGGGATAGTTCTATTGATGTAACCCCTTCAGTTCTCATACGAACCCAGAGCTAAGCTCAGAGTGGATAGTTCCATTGCTGTAACCCCTTCAGTCCTCATGCGGACCCGGAGCGAAGCTCAGATTCCAAGTAGTCCGGCCTATACGCATGACAGCTTACTAGCTCTTTTGTATATAGCTATAGGCCAGACAGAAAGTGGAGCGGATAATAAGTAGCCACATGCATAATGTATTTAGGTAGTTGTTCTGTGAAAAGATGCCATCCAGAGATCATGCTTTCAACGCGTGGAAAATTTCAGCCGCCGTTAAACTCTCTACTTAAAACTCAGGCCCATTCAGGCCAACAGGCTTTGATACACAAGGGAGCGGAAAATAAGGTTTCCCAGGCTAAAACCGAATAGAGTTAGTCGTTACGAAGAACCGAAAAGAAGAAGGTCCATTCGCAACATGAAGGCGGAGAGTCTGCCCAAGAGCTCCGACTTTATTTCAATCATTAGTATTAAACATTATCAGTTTTTTCTGCTGTAAATATATTTTTTTCCCTTATACTTTGTAGACTTATTCACATCAGTTTCAGGCTTTAATATTTCCCTAACTTCGACTAATTTTAAATGGTAATAAAATATTATTCGGAAAACACCGTCAAATCTCCAAACTTTGGCTAATGAGAGACTGGTTATAATAAAAGTCTCCAGGGCTGGTGAACGGAATAAAATTCATGTAACTACAGAGTCTTTAAAAAATGTCTTTTTAAAATCACTCTAAATTAAAAGAAAACACAACATAAAGCTCGAAAACTTATATTTCTGAGACTTACAGATTGGGACATTAGTGAAAACATATCAATAGTCTTCTTTCATGTTTACTTTGAAATTAAAAACACAGTTGTCCAGCTCTGCAAAATCCAGGGTTTTTGGGCTTTTGTAAATTGAGTATAAGACTTCTATTTTTTGCATTTGCGCCATAAAACAACTTCAAATAACCAAATATATAACAAAATATCGTGTAGCTAAAATGTTACCAGTGTACTTGTATGAGGTATTGAAGTCCTTTAAACATATTAACGGGCTCCCAAGAGGAAAGGTTCCAACCAACTTTAACTGATCTCGTTTTCCGATAATACTGAAATAAACTAAATAATATCGGAAATTTAAGAAATTTAAATCTTTCGGTTTTTTAAATTATCATTCACGGGTTTCATTCAGTACTTGCAAAATTAGTTTATACCTTAAAAGAATTATGAGGTTTGATGTAGCCAGGAGCAGACCATCAAAATGTGCTCTAAGATGAGTATATTTAGGATCCAGGTTCTGCTCCTGTAGGATGCATTCCAGGTTCAGGTCTGTCATTATCTCAGTGTATTGTTTAGTAGCAGTATCATACTGAACACGTACCAATATTCTCATTTCTCATAGGGTTATAGGATACGTTAGAGGGTTATTGGATTTCTCATAGGGGTTATAGGATACATTAGGGGTTATAGGATACATTAGTGGGCTAATGGATTTATAAGAGGGGTTTACAGGCTATATTAGAGGTTAAAGGATACATTAGAGGGTTAATGTATTTCTCATAGGGGTTTACAGGCTACATTAGGAGTTATAGGATACATTAGTGGGTTATTGGATTTATAAGAGGGGTTACAGAATACATTAGGGGTTATAGGATACATTAGTGGGCTATTGGATTTCTCATAGGTGTTTTCAGGCTACATTATAGGTTATAGGATACATTAGTGGGTTATTGGATTTATAAGACGGGTTACAGAATACATTAGGGGTTATAGGATACATTAGTGGGTTATTGGATTTCTCATACGGGTTTACAGGCTACATTAGGGGGTTAAAGGATACATTAGTGGGCTATTGGATTTCTCATAGGGGTTTACAGGCTACATTAGGGGTTATAGGATACATTAGTGGGTTATTGGATATATAAGAGGAGTTACAGGATACATTAGTGGGGTTAAAGGATACATTAGTGGGGTTACAGAATAAATTAAGAATTAGAGGATGCATTAGGGGCTAGAGGATATTTAAGGGGTTTAGAGGATTCAATCGAAGTTACAGGATACATTAGGGGTTACAAGATACTTATGGATTTAAAGAATTCTTTAAGGGTTACAGGATACTGTAGGGGTTCCATGTTACCTTAGGTGTTAGAGGATACTTTTGGTGAAATGAGAATACTTTGTGGGGCATCATAGGAAACTTAGAGGGAGTGTTCGCAAAAAAGGAAAGGGTTATAGGTTGATACAGAACTGAATTTGATATCATTCGCTACAAATTTTTACTTCTATCTATAGCGTCTGTTAGGAGAAAATGGTTAAAACTACACATACCGTCGTTTTTAACCATATTCTTACTTTAGACACAACAGTATAGAAGTAAAATTTGTAGCGATCGATATCAAATTCAAATCGATATCAGCCTATACCTCCTTACATTTTACGCAAACACTCCCTTTAACGGGCGAGGGCCGCGAAGAAATTTGTATTAATGTTTTGATTAGCAAGCACATACCTAGAAGTTTAAGGAACTCAGTAATTAAATAAATTTTAGAAGGTGAATGGTCATAATTTGAATGAGTAGATTAGACAATGTAAAGGGAAAAAAGAAGATGAAGAATAGAAGGATTTGAAGAAAGGAATAAAAAAGATGATGAATGGTTTATGATAATGTTAAATGTTTGAAGAAAATATGTGTTTCCTTGATGAAATCCTTGTCAGCTGTTAGAATAAATAGATCCTGTGGGAAGACCCAGGTAAAGGAAATCACACTTTTTACTGAAATAAATTATTTTAACTTTATCTCCATATTCTATAAATTATCTTTTTAAAATCATAAGTTTTGTTAATATTTGCTTAACGAGACTGTCCAATGTATTTAAGTGACCCCAAATTAAGAACTTGCATGTCCGACTCACAACTGTACTCTTTATAGTCTTATCTGTGCAAAAAGAAGAAAGATATTTTTGTTTTTCTATCATTGGAAGCAGCATGTATGTTACTTATCTGACAGCAGGTATGTTACCAATCTGACAGCAGGTGTGTTACCAAGCTGACAGCAGTCGTGTTACCAACCTGACAGTAGATGTGTTACCAACCTGACAGCGGGCATGTTACCAACCTGACAGCAGGTGGATTACCAACCTGACAGCAGGTATGCTACCAACCTGACAGCAGGTGTGTTGCAAACCTGACAGCAGGTAGTTACCAACTTAAGAGCTGGTTTGTTACCAACCTGACATTAGGTGTGTCAGCAACCTGACAGCAAATATGTTACCAACCTGACAGTAAACTTGCTAGCAACCTGACAGCAGTCATGTTAGCAACCTGACAGAGGAGATTTCAACAAACTGACAGTGTGAATACTTGCAACCTTACAACAGATATGTTACCAAACTGGCAGTAGATGTGTTATCAACCTGACAGTGGGCATGTTACCAACCTGACAGAAGAATGTTATCAACCTGACAGTGGGCATGTTACCAACCTGACAGAAGAATGTTATCAACCTGACAGTGGGCATGTTACCAACCTGACAGCGGGCATGTTACCGACCTGTTAAGATATGAGGAATTATCTTGTAATTAGTCCGAACCCGTTCAATCTCCCAGATTGACAAGATTCCTCCGTTCTCCGTAGAAAGCATTGTAGACAGCCCAGTTCCTGAATTCTGAGGGAAGGACGTATGAATAGGATAATCTTCTCTAGGTCTAGGTAAAGGAGCAGAGCAGAGAAGAACCTCATTCTTCCAATCCCAGAGATTGACACAGAAATCCGGGATACCGGATACTCCAACCAGGAACTTTTCGTGGCTAAAATAGAAATATTAGGGAACTGACTGCACGGATATGGTGAGAGAAGAAGTTCTACCTTAAGTTCTAGAACTAATGGTTATGATAATATCATAACATTCCCACAAAATTAACTCATATGAAACTAAATAATACTAGTGTGTACATTGTACATTTGATGCTGTATTAAGGATAGAGAAAAAAAATTTAGAGTAAATATGAAAAATTACTAAAAAACATATTTTAGGACTATTGTAATTTTTAACGTTAGTCTTAATAAACATTAATCCAAAACTTACCACCAGAAATCATAACCAGTTTTTCAAAGGTTAACGAGTATATCTTCACATGACACGCTGATTGGTTAAATTTTTAACTTCTTTCTTGGATATCAAATGCGTTTTAAAATAATCTTGGGTTTAGTAAAATCAGGAGTTTAAGTATAAATCTTGATATCCACCATTCTAAAGTTTTCAGCTCAACGTGTATATTGTACAGTTTAGTGTATACTGTACAGTTAACAATTTATTGTTTATTGTACACTGTATATGGTACTGCAGTATACTATACATTGTACAGTGTACTGTCTATTGTACAGCACACTAAAAATTCCAAAATACTTTGTACATTGTGTAGTGTGCATTAAACATTACAGTATAGATTACACAATGTACAATACAGTGTAACTTTTACATTATACTGTACATGGTACAGTAGTTGTATATTATACAGTACGTTAAACATTGTATAGTACACTGAACATTATTAGTATAGTTCACAAAGCCCGAAATTTAAAAGAGTATCGTTGAAGGAAACTTCCGAGTTTCCTTTTTGGGTCTTAACATTTGTGTAGATTTTGATTTAAGAGATTCGAAAAAAATGGAGAATATGAAAAATCTAAATAAAGTAATATTTCATCACAAAAATATTGATATTCACAAAACTGCTTAACCCCATTCGTGCAACTCGGGTTCTAAAAATGGTTTTCACAATGATACCCTGTCTTAAGTTTTGGGCTCTGAGCCCGAAACTTCATCGTAATGAAACCCAGTATCGGAAACCCGGTTTCATGAATGGGGATAAGCAGTTTTGTGGATACCGATATTTTTGTTAAGAAATATTATGGCCACAAGACACTACACAGTACACTATGCAATGCAAGGTTATAATGCAAGAAAAGTTAATTGCAGTTGCGTATACTGCGTACATTTTGAAACCAGTTCTCTCTGGACGGAATTTGTAAACAAGAATAGATGCATCAGTGCAAGGATTTAATGCAAGGAAAGACATTTCAGAGGTGTACGCAACTTTTGTACTGCAGTGTGCTGTCACTGGGTGGTAATGTAAACACAAGACGGATGTCGAAGCCTGACATGGGATCCATCTTTCACAATGAAATATTCTGGTCATAGGAAACTATTATGTGAATTATCAAAATTATCAATATTCAATGCTTTTAACCTCTTCAGATACTAAACGAACTCCGATGCATCTATTTTTGTTTACAAATTCCGCCCAGAGAGAACTGGTTTCAACATGTACGCAGAGTATACGCAACTGCAATAACTTTCCTTTCATTACATTATTTCATCAGGGTTCGTTTAGTATCCGAGGAGGTTAAAAGTATTACATTTTTATAATTTTGATAATTCATATGACCAGATGATTTCATTGATTTTTTTATGTGAAAGATGGATCCCATGTCAGGCTTCGACATCCGTCTTGTGTTTACATTAACGCTTAGAGACAGTACACTGCAGTACAAAAGATGCGTACACCTCTGCAAAATAAATTTCCTTGCATTATAACCTTGATGCAATGTATATTTCATCGAGCATTGTACTTTACTGTACACATCATTGACATACATATACAGTTTAGTCAGGCCCTCCCTACTCCATATATTTATTTATAAAAGAAGGGAATTAAGTTTTTTGCCACAAATTTTCTATTATCTAAGGTCTACAACATTGGGTTGCAAAGTTATATGTAGAAGCAAATTAAAGTTTAAGGCTCATATTGATGCTTTGTATATTTTTGTAATATTTGAAAAAAGAATATATTTGTTTGTCCTGGAGCACTCAAATGTTGAACTTGTATTTTACCTGAACCCTGAGAAAATCAGGTTTACACATTACATACAAACAGAATTTGAAGAAGAAAATAAAGTTAATGTTTTGAAAATATAAAAATATATATTTCCAGGTTTCATAATTCTCCGAATATTTACTTTGTGTTGAATGTTGGTAGTGTATAATAAAGTATAAAGTATATGACCCGATACAGAAAATGCAGATAAAGGCTAACTAGATAAGATTGCATGGGTATAAACGGATATAAAGGCTGGTGTAATGGTATTCCTAAAGATTTGTATTCCATGACCGCTTCTCCTTGGAACACTTTCAGGTCTCCTGGGTTGGTATACTGGTACACGAACACCCTGATATAGGCAGAGATATTAGGAGAACAGGAGTATAGAATAAGGTGAAGAGGAGAACAGGAGAACATGTGTATAGAACCAGTAGAACAGGAGAACATGTGTATAGAACCAGGAGAACCGGATATAGAAATAGGAGAACAGAAATATAGAACCAAGAGAACAGGAGTATAGCACTAGGAGAACAGGAGTATAGAACTAGGAGAACAGGGGTATAGAAGTAGGAGAACAGGAATATAGAACCAGGAGATTAGGAGTATAGCACTAGGAGAACAGGAGTATAGATATAGGAGAACAGGAGTATAGAACTAGGAGAACAGGAGTATAAAACCAGGAGAACAGAAGTATAGAACCAGGAGAGTAGGAGTATAGAACCAGGAGAACAGGAGTATAGAACTAAGAAAACAGGAATATAGATCTAGGAGAACAGGATTATAGAACCAGGAGAACAGGAGTATAAACCAGGAGAACAGAAGTATAGAACCAGGAGAAAAGGAGTACAGAACCAAGAGACAGACGTGTAGAACTAGGAGAACAGTAGTATAGAACTAGGAGAACAGGAGTATATATATGACCAGTATAAGAGAAATATTAAAGAAAGATTGAAGTGTAATATATTAAAGTATAAAGGTTTGATACTGCAGAGATTGTTTTTCTCTCAGATTTTCTAACCTTGGATTTATTCTTAGTTCTGTCCAGGCCAGTAATCCATCCTCGTCTCGTCCTGACATTACTCCGATCCCGTCACTCTCTCCTAGGGTTAATAAAACTCATTCATAGTCTTAAACCTTTCACGGAGAATGGTATTCAAAATTAGAAAAAGACGGAAATGAAACAAAGCTACTGTTGCTTTGAGTAAAGTTTAGAAAAGGGATGTATCTTTGAGAAAAAAATAAAGAATTGAGATTTCGCTTTTCTCCTCTTCTCTCAATATCTACCACTAAACCCCAAGCCATTTATTCTATACGGACTTTCGCATAAAATATTCATCAAAAACAAAATAACTTTTGACATTTATTTATATATATATTCTAGAGTATACCTCCAGGATATATTCTAGAGTATACCTCCAGGATATATTCTAGAGTATACCTCCAGGATTATATAATCTCTGTTTGCCGGATGTTGTGAAGATAAACTTTATCATCTGTGTGGTAGAAATTGCCACAACATCCTCTCCTACCACAGCTAGGTTCTACCACACCAATATACGTAATAAATATGAAATATATAGGACTAGAAATAGGAGACTAATTGATATCTTTGCGGATTTCTTAAAATCTGGAGGACATGGGAATAAAAAAAATAGTTTGAACCTATTATCTGAACGATATTATCTAAACGAATACTGTATTTTAATTATATATGGTAGTTTTTACAATAGACGGAATATCCATATAGTATTTTACCACAATAATAAACTAGCAGTATGTTGGCAAAGCAGAATAAGATTTAACAATGCTTGTCTAGTAATAATTTAAGCTTTTAACTGTTGATTTTCAATCCATTATTTTTTCAACGTACTCCAAAAAAAACTAAAATCAAGGCAAATTTTTTTTGTTTAAATTAATTAAATTATATAAGACACTGTGGTGGAATTATTATATAAAAAGTGCTTAAATGTATCTAATAGAAGCAAATTATCTAATCCCCCAGAGATGGTATCCTGCTCTGTGCTAGTGGTAATGAATTAGGTCTATTATTCATTTATATATATATATATATATATATGTGTGTTAATATATATATATTGTTCCTGGTTTACATATCCTCCATCTATCCATCTTCTACCCGGCCCAGCATCAACCATTATTAATATCTAGATCAGTAGATGTATATGTTAACTTTGCTCCTGGTTCAACTAATATACTGGGATTGACTCCATGTATATCAATTGATTAAACAAGACGGGACCGGGCACAGCGTTGGATCAATAAACACAGGATAACATATTTAAACATTTTTATACATTTATAATTAAGTAGTATTTTCTTGTTAGTTTCTTTGTGTAGAAACTTCAACAAACGGTTTGTGTGGGACCTAGCCTGGCCTAGAGGGAGCGCTATTTTCCTAGATTTGAATCATTGATTATATATTTTAATTTTAATCTTTAAATTAAATCAAACAAAACCTGTAATGGAGATGAGGTGTTTGCAGAGAAAAAATTTTGATAAACTACGGACTTGAATTCGTTAACGTGCAAGGGTTCACGAAAAAGAAAAATCAGCGTTCTATCGATTTTCAATATTTTAGAATGAGATCAGAGCTGGAAACTCTTGTCTGTATTGTTGATCTGCAGATTAATTTAATCTTTACTCTTTATCCAACACAAACTTTCCAAGCTCAGAGCTGGGAACTTTTGTGTTAAATACCCAAAATTCTGAACTCTTGATCTCGATATCCACTTTGTGCCAAGAGGTTCATGAGTTATTATCGGAAATACAAACAGAGATTACTACTACTATATATATAAAGTAGTAGTAGTATATATATATATATTGTAACTACTGAGGATCGTCATGATAGACGTGAAACATTATGTTTAGTATAATTCTTTTTTAATAAAAAAATGTGAAGTTAAAAACTGAAATATATATATATATATATATATAAATAGATTAGGATCTTTGTTACACACTAGAGTTAGAAACTTTTGGTTGAATTAGCGCTGAGCTACAATTTTTGTACTCGATAAATACAAAAGGAAGAGTTTAAAAACAGTTCAGATTAAACCCCGGCTGTTAGGCCTAGAGAGAGAAACGGATTAGTGCTTTAGGAAGGAATTAACCATCCAGAGCCTGTTTCAGAGCCTGTTAGCATTAATTTACAAAACAAATATTAATCATTTTATACTGAAGTCATTCATTTAGCTCTTATTTATTTATTTATTTATTTATTTATTTATTCGTACACAATTATAATGGTACAATTTAAAATCAACGAGAAATGAGATATAACATGTAAAATATAGAATTAATATATAGTCGAAAACAATAAAATAAAATAAAAAAAAAATAAAAACTTAGTTAGTTTTTACATATATCATCAATAATTACATCTATTTCATCATAGTTAAATCCTTCTAAAACATTTGGATTTGAACGGATTAATAGTAAATCATATGATCATATATATGAAGAGAAAGGAGAAAATGAGTTTGAACCATCTGAAACAATTTAAAAGTTCTGAAACCATCTGAAACAATCTATATGAAAATAAGAAATATGTGTAATGTAAGCAATATCTACAACATAGCATAGCACCCCGGGAATCTCAATTGGATGTATCTAATTCAACTCTAGGATCCCTTATCTCTGCAATAAACTGTATTAATTCTGCTATTTTCCTCTCCTTCAAACCCATATCTTTATTCCTAGTGAGTACTCGTAATCAGAACCTGTATTCTCTCCTCTCATATCCACTAATCAATGTATTTATAATATATTCTCCAGGTGTGGTATAAAAACACAGGATATAAGGGTTTATGTTCTCCTACTAACATACTAACTAATATGCAGTGTCCTATATTTAGGTTTTGCTTCAGAATTAATTCAAGGATCAGGGTTTAAGTTCTTCTCATCTAGTAAGAATTATACCGGATCAAGATTTATATCGATGTGAAGGATCAGGGTTTAAGTTCTTCTCATCTAGTAGAATTATACCGGATCAGCAAGGAGTATGGAATAGAAGGGAGATACAAATGACGCGGCCCGCCCTACCATATGATTATACATGCTTTGCAGACAGTACTCCATTTGAATAAGAAATATTTGTTTGATGCACAAATACCGCGTACATGTATTCAGATTAGGTTATTGTAAACATCAAACAGGAAAAAAGTAGGTTGAATAACGCCAAGCAAAACAATTTTGGGAATGCAAAAATTTTGTAATAAAAAAATCTTTTTTTTAGATATGGTATAGTTAATAACCACATTTTAAAAAATTAAAAGACCACCTTTAAAAACTCTGATTCAAATGGAGTACCGTCTGAAAAGCATGTGAAGCGGGCTGCGTCATTTGTATCTATCTCCCTTATATGTCATTCTCCTTTGTTAAGAGTCTTCGTCGGGTCTTGCATAAATATTTTGGAACATGGTTCATTTTCTTCAGAAGTTCTAACATAGATATTAAGGATCTGAGTTTAGTTTCTCTAGTAGGTCTATCATATCTATTTAGGATTAGGGTTCGGGTTCTCTAGTAGGTCTATCATAACTATTTAAGTTCAGTTTCTACAGTAGTTCTAGTATAACTATTGAGGATCAGGGTCCTGTTTCTCCAGCAGGTCTAGTATACCTATTGAGGATCAGGGTCCAGTTTCTTCAGTAGGTCTAGTATACCTATTGAGGGTTAGGGTCCAGTTTCTCCAGTAGGTCAAGTATACCTATTGAGGATCAGGGTCCAGTTTCTCCAGTAGGTCTAGCATATCTATCAAGGATCACTGAGACACGGATTCAAGTATATAAATTGTGTAAGGAGAGAAACTTTATATTAACATGAGATCCTTCATATTTTCTGTGTCCTTTCCCTTTCCCCAGAGATATTTAGATACATCATCATATAGGCTTCGCCCTGCAAAACCGACCTGAATCATCTCATCAACTATTCATGGAATATTCTAGTATCTTTCCTCATAACTCATGATCCAGATACCAGGGTTCCTAATTCTGACATCTTGTTCTTAATTCTAATACCATGGTTCCTAATCAAAATATCTTAGTTCCTAATTCTGATATCAGGTTTCTTAATAATATGGTGCCTAATTCTGATACCTTGGTTCCTAATCAAAATATCTTAGTTCCTAATTCTGATATCAGGTTTCTTAATAATATAGTGCCTAATTCTGATACCTTGGTTCCTAACCTTGATACCTTGGTTCCTAACCTTGATACCTTGGTTCCTAACCTTGATACCTTGGATGATAATCCTAAAAGTTGGTTTCCAATCCTGATATCTTGGTTTCTAACCCTAATTCCTAATTCTAAATTCTTGGTTTCCGTTCCTGATATCGTTGGGCTTAATCTTGATATTATGTTTCCTTATCCCGATATTTTAGTTCCTACTCCTGATATCTTGGTTCCTAATTCTGATACCTTGGCTCCTAATCCTAATATTTTGGTTCCTAAGTTCCTAAACTTAATTCCATGGTTTTTAATTTACCTGTTATGTTGGTTCCCTAATCCTGATACGCTTATCTTAAATCTTGATATCTTGGTACCTGATTCTAATATATTGGTTCCTGATCCCGATATTTTGGTTCCTAACTTTCTAACACTGATATCTTGCTTCCTAACTGGGATATGTTGGTGCATCATCCTGATATGTTGGTTATGAAGTTCCTAATATGGATATCTTAGTAGCTAATCCGATTATTCGGTTCCTAAGGTTTTGGTTCTGAATCCTGATATCTTGATTTCTAATCCTGGAATCAGGTAATTTTAGATATTATTATTTGTGTTCCTGATAATGATAACAGAACTCTTAATCACAGAACTCCTGATATTATGTTTCTTAATCAAAATTACAGCGTTACTATTCCTATCTCAGCACTGGACCCTAATTCCTAATTCCGATATCTAGGTTCTTAATCCTAACTGAAAACTTTATTATCTTTGTGTATATTAACTACTAGCTGGAGAACCCGGCGTTGCCCAGGTTAGAATATTATTATTCTTAGTCATAGTTACGCCCGTATTAAATTATGATTTTATGATCATGAGGCGAACATAGTACATACACAGGGTTACCCTCAAAGAATGAGACTGTACAGACGATCTGAAACGTTAATAGAAAGAATAACTCAAGGTCAATTTAAGTCTTCTCTCTTAAACAGTGCCTTTTTAATGGTCTATTTAATTGTTTGGCGAAGAAAGAAACCAGTTTACTGTTAAAGGGAACCATTAACATGTTAATGGACGGTATAAATTCCGTAAGTCGTCTCTGAATCCGCATTATTTGTGGGTAACCCTGTAAATTAGCAAAGAACTTTATTGTATTGATATACTAGCTGGTTCCTTGAACTTTTAGTTCCATTTCCCGACTATAATTGTAGTTCCTGAATCCATGGGAATGAGTTCCTGAGAGGAGGGAGGGGGGAGCTGATGGGAGGGTAAAATATCAAACCCCCCCCCCCCTACTCCTGGTGAAATGTTTGGTTTTTTATATTAAATTCTCGTCCTTCTTGGCATTTTTAAAACTTACAAATATTCAAGATTTCGGATAAAAGTAAAATACGAACTAGGATGTCGTCTTCCAGTGACAATATTTTGAAGACGAATTTTACCAAGCAGAATTGACATGAGCATTTACATCCTATCTGACCTAGATATTTTCAATCAAGAAGAATGATGCTTTAAGCTATTTACAGTAAAGATCTACATAGATTTTGTTGCATGTAAAATGACAATTTTTCAATTAAAAATGTGAGAATATAAAAGAAGAAAAACACGTTGAATCTTGAAAAGAAAGAGAAATCTTGGAAGAACTTGTTTGATCTTGAAAATGTTGATTTAATATGTGACAGAAAGGGTTGGGGGAAAATTGAGGTCAAATAAATATTCATCAAAGCTTTGTATGCAATTTGGAGTTCTGGAAATGAAGGAAAGATTATGATGTTTCAGAGCTGAGAAGTGAGAACACGTGTGGAATATGATAGCATTAAAGTACAGCTAAATCATAAATAAGCCTTAAGGCCAATTTCTCAGTCGAGTTATACCCTGGGTAAATTGGAATTTACTCTAGAGTTAACCCTAGTTCCGATTTCTTGGACCCACAACACCCTGGGTTACAATGGACTCTGCTTCTGTAGGTATCTGCTTGAAGCTGCAGGAGTAGACGAACTTTTAGAACCT